TTTTACATTTTCCCCCCTATTATCTTGAAAACCATAATAGACAAGCAAACATTATCAGCAGGACAAGATCTAAAATTTGTCAATATGACAGCAAGTGTTGGTCGACTCATTAATTCCACTTTTTGACGATTTTCACCAATGTTTTGCATTTGTGACCAAAACTATAGTAAATAAAGATGCTGATGATATTTTTGCGGCAATGTATATACATAGCATTTATTTCAACTTTCTGCGTCAAACTTTGTTCAAGATTCTGTTTAGTTCGTACTTTCGTTTGTTATCAATTCTCAATTCTCTTCCTCGCATTCGATCATTATTGTTATATAGACTCGAAAGAATTGCACTAAAATCTGTATCTTACGGGCTACATTGTTATTCATAATTTACGGTTTTAAATTATACTTTAATAAAAAAAAATATAACAAAAAAGAAAGTTCTATTGTAGGATCTTCAATTGTAAGGAAAGAGAATTGCTTTTAAAAACCGACATAGTAATCGAATACATGTTTAAAAAATGAATTTAAAACTTACCCTTTTTATCAATGGTGCTTCAGAACGTTTGGGTTTATAAAATATAACATATATAAGATGCATCCACCTACGCCTTTACACCAGATGTAGTATATATAGTGAACTTCTGATATAAACTAAGTTAAACAGAAATGCTGATGTTGCATAATATTATGTTTATGTCATACATATATTTTGTCCTTACTTCTTTTATCCATTAATTAGTAGATTTACTGTGACTTGACTGTAAGTGTTGCTCTCAACCTATTGCAACTTGTTCAAAATTCTGACCAAATTGCAATTTGTTTTATAAAACCAAACTGTTCAACTGGTCAGAAATTTGAACAAACTCCTGTAGAAAACCACAGTCAAGTCGTGAAAGTGCAAGGTGATAAAATAAAGCATACTTACAATCCTATAAGACTTTAATTCCACATCAATGTTATTATGAAAAATCAGTCTAACAGTTTGTATAGAAATTTTATTGTTACTGTCATGCTAAAGGTGATGGGTAGTAATTTTGAATTGCTATAAAAATGTCCAAACTAAGCTTTCATACAATTTTTCTTTCGAAAAGTCTTCTATATTCATAAGAATCAGACATCATATGAATTAAAACATTTTATATTCTGTAAAATATGTGTGAAATTACAATACGTTGTTAGTAAGTTTCAATTGGAGATAATCAATTTTTCTTTTGAAAAGTGTTCTATATTCAAAAGAATAATGTTTTAGGTTATCTCCCATGGAAACTTATTAACAACGTATTGTAATTTCACATATATTTTACTGAATGTAAGATGTTTTAATTCAAATGATGTATAATTCTTATGAATATAGAAGACTTTTTGAAAGAAAAATTGTATGAAAGCTTAGTTTGGACATTTTTATAGCAATTCAAAATTACTACCCATCACCTTTAGCATGACAATAACAATAAAATGTCTATACAAACTGTTAGACTAATTTTTTATAATAACATTAAAGTGGAATTAAAGTCTTTTAGGATTGTAAGTACTAGTATGCTTTATTTTATCACCTTACACTTACACGACTTGACTGTGGTTTTCTACTGCAGTTTGTTCAAATTTCTGACCAGTTGAACAGTTTGGTCAGAATTTTGAATAGATTGCAATAGGTGGAGAGCAACACTAACAGTCAAGTCACAGTAATTGCAATAAAATGAATGGGACCGATGTACGTGCGCTCGACAAGTGCTTCTAGAATAAACGTAATTAGATAGGCTCGAGACCATTGAAAACTTTGGACAGCGCTAAAACTATCGTTTGAGATCATAAAACTAAAATTGTCAAATCAGAACAGATAAAATCTGTTGATTTTTACTTTGTCCAAGGGAGTTAAATATTTAGTTTTAGAATAATGAACTGAAAATTTGTATATAAAGTCAAATGTATTGTTTAAATTTTGTCAATTTTATATGTTTTTTTTTACCTCCTTCGAATATTGACCCCGTATTATGTTTCAATGGTTCAAGTGCCATTCTGTCTTTTCCTACATATAAGGGAGGCCATAATTCACTGGTGTCAACGTGATGATCGTAACTAAAATTACGATCATCCCAATATTGCGGACACAAATTCAGGTAAATTTTATAAGGCCGATTTCTCCACTTTAACAGCTTATTTTCAGATTTGTATTATGTCAAGAAACATCTTTATAAGCATTGCCATTGAATATTTTTTCCTAAATAATGGAAAAGCAACCAGAAGAACGAACATCGAGATACAAAAAAACACGACGATGATCGTAAAGTTCTTCGTCTATGAATGATCGTAACTTGGACTTGTTTTATATAAAGATGATCGTAACTCAAAATTTACGATGTGTTCTTCTTTAAATGAACATCCTATTTAGCAGTCATGGTATATTGGTATCACTGAAAATAGTAAGATTTTAAAACTGTACAAAATGAGCGTTAATGAACACTGCAATTTGTGAAAAAGAAATGACATAAGGGGGAATTAGCCGGCTTATTTGCAAATGTTATCAATATTTTTTTCTGAGTAATTTAGGCAACATTCAAAATGGAATACGTTTATATGAAGTAAATATAAATATCATCCTCATGATACAGTTTAAGATTGCAGGGCAAAACTATCACTGAATATTAATAAAACATTTTAGAAATAAGTAATGGTAGGCTTCGATTTTTTTTTGTAGGGATGTGCCTTTTCTGCCTTAAAAATGTACCAATTTTTATATAGCATTCACTGAAATTCGGTATCAATACTTAAATAAATACAGGTACATAAAAAGAATGACCTTTATTTATATAGAATATTGTAATTTAATACCCACACCCAAAAAATGACATTTACAGTTTGTTCCACAGAAAAAAATCTCAAAATTTTACCAAATTGGCCATTAATATGAAATATCCAATACCTTATTTATATAAGATATATGAAATCAACATAAAGTTGTCAACCCCAATGCATTTTAATATAGAATCAGATTAAAAAGTTACAAAATCTCGCAAAATCATAACCAAAAAAATATTCAATGGCAATTCTTATAAAGATGTTTCTTGACATAACACAAATCTGAAAATAAGCTGTTAAAGTGGAGAAATCGGCCTTATAAAATTTACCTGAATTTGTGTCCGCCATATTGGGATGATCGTAATTGCATTTAAGGGGATTGGGTCAAATTTCAATAGTAGGGGTCAAAATACCATGGCTAAAAAACGTGTTAAATAACTTTTCAACATATTTTTTCCAATCAAGATTCTTATTGAATCATTATTAATAGATAATGAAGTTGAAATGCTTGCTCGTTTTACAATCTGCATTTTGGGATACGGCACTGTATTTTAGAAGAAATCTTTGTTTGTATTTTCGTCGTCTTTCTTCTTCTAAAGCTGAGTCTTTTTTTATCGACTGATAGTTTTTTGATGGCCCCCATTTCATCGTTTCCTCTTTTTGTTTATTTTTTTTCAAAAAACAACGTTAGTTTCATTATTCAAATCCATATTTTAAATTAAAGATTATTTCGAACATATAGACCACCAATAATTTCGTTTGAAAATTTTGAAAGCACTCAGGGTATCTATTTATGTACACTGATGTCTGTGAAACTAATTTTAAGATGTAATGCATATCAAACCATATTTTTTAATGATAAAAAAAAATACGTTATGCGTTATGGAAACAAATTATATTAGATCATTCTTTACTTAAATCCTCTTTGCTTGAATGGATATTTTAATGCACTTGAATATCGAATGAATCTGAATTTCTATCAAAGTAATACATCACACGGCATTTATGTTGATATCTTTTATTTATATTTTATTAGGAATAAATTATAAGATGATGTTAAAAGAAATCGCCAACGCATTATTTACCTTATGTTGATCAGGATGATGTGTGAGAATTAAAAGAAAAAACTGTCTAAATATTTTCCATGTTACTTTGCCAAGACAGATGAAGTTAACAAAATTTAGACATAATTTTAAAAATTTACTAAGTAGAACTATTTTGGAATTTCAGAAACAACTTTTAATTACTATTATCTTATCTTTTCCATCCTCCTTAGCCGCAAGTGAAGGCATCACTGTACCCTTTACAGCAAGATTAAACTATCACGTAGATACATGTGATATAAGATAGCGTCATTGGTGCAGAGCGTTACAGGGATTTTGCTCAAACTTAAAATTTAAATATTTCAGCAACAAGAGGTTGGATAAGCATCTTATATTTTCCCTCCTTTTAATGAAATTACTTAGCTGATGAACAAAATTCACTGCTCTTCTATTTTCGTAAAACACAAAATTAAAAAAAATATAGTAGCCCCATTGCGACCCTCTAATAGGTGTTGATGTCCCTAAATGTAAATTTTTACTTTTTTTTTTACATTTTTCCCCCTATTATCTTGAAAACCATAATAGACAAAGAGAAACTTTAAAAGCAAACATTATCAGCAGGACAAGATCTAAAATTTGTCAATATGACAGCAAGTGTTGGTCGACTCATTAATTCCACTTTTTGACGATTTTCACCAATGTTTTGCATTTTTGACCAAAACTATAGTAAATAAAGATGCTGATGATATTTTTGCGGCAATGTACGTACATAGAATTTATTTCAACTTTCTGTGTCAACTTTGTTCAAGATTCTGTTTAGTTCGTACTTTCGTATTGTTATCAATTCTAAACTTTTAAAAATGCACAGTAAGCAATTATGTCTGCCTTACTATTAAACATGTAAATATATAAAATGGAGTCATTTATTTTCTCTTCCTCGCATTCGATCATTATTGTTATGTAGACTCGAAAGAATTGCAATAAAATCTGTATCTTACGGCTACAGTTATTCATAATTTACGGTTTTAAATTATACTTTAATAAAAAAAAATATAACAAAAAAGAAAGTTCTATTGTAGGATCTTCAATTGTAAGGAAAGAGAATTGCTTTTAAAAACCGACATAGTAATCGAATACATGTTTAAAAAATGAATTTAAAACTTACCCGTTTTATCAATGGTGCTTCAGAACATTTGGGTTTATAAAATATACCATATATAAGATGCATCCACCTACGCCTTTACACCAGGTGTAGTATATATAGTGAACTTCTGATATAAACTAACGAAAATGCTGATGTTGCATAATATTATGTGTATGTCATACATACATATTGTCCTTACTTCTTTTATCCATTAATTAGTAGATTTACTGTGACTTGATGGAAGTTTGCTCTGAACCTATTGCAACTTGTTCAAAATTCTGACCAAATTGCAATTTGTTTTAAAAAACCAAACTGTTCAACTGGTCAGAAATTTGAACAAACTCCTGCTTATTTTCAGATTTGTATTATGTCAAGAAACATCTTTATAAGAATTGCCATTGAATGTTTTTTTCCTAAATGATGGAAAAGCAACCAGAAGAACGAAAATCGAGATACAAAAAAACACGACGATGATCGTAAAGTTCTTCGTCTATGAATGATCGTAACTTGGACTTGTTTTATATAAAGATGATCGTAACTCAAAATTTACGATGTGTCCTCCTTTAAATGAACATCTTATTTAGCAGTCACGATATATTGGTATCACTGAAAATAGTAAGATTTTAAAACTGAACAAAATGAGCGTTAATGAACACTGCAATTTGTGAAAAAGAAATGACATAAGGGGAATTAGCCGGCTTATTTGCAAATGTTATCAATATTTTTTTCTAATGAGTAACTTAGGTAACATTCAAAATGGAATACGTTTATATGAAGTAAATATAAATATCATCCTCATGATACAGTTTAAGATTGCAGGGCAAAACTTTCACTGAATATTAATAAAACATTTTAGAAATAAGTAATGGTAGGCATAAAGTTACATTATTTTGATGTGTTTCCCTCGGTTTTAGTTTTGTATTTTCTTAATCGAACTATGACTATTAAACATTGGTAGACTACTGTTGCTTATATTTACGGTTATATGACACGTATTATTGAAGTTAGTCGAAGAAGTGGTTTTAGCCAAAAATCTCAATAAATTATTTTATTGGCGGTTTCATTTTTTTTTTCATTCAAATGATATGATTACACTTCTTGATGCTATATTTTTCACCTCTCCTTTAAAAATCCTGTATCTGTTGATGAAAACTATAAAATCCGAATTGCGCAAAATTATCAGATTCTCGAAAGGTACTATTGTCCCTACAAAGTGTATGTGTGTGTTGGTGAAAAAGTGGGGGTGTACTTCGATTTTTTTTGTAGGGATGTGCCACTTCTGCCTTAAAAATGTACCAATTTTTATATAGCATTCACTGAAACTCGGTATCAATACTTAAATAAATACATGTATATAAAAAGAATGACCTTTATTTATATAGAATATTGTGATTTAATACCCACACCCAAAAAATAATATTTACAGTTTGTTCCACAGAAAAAAATCTAAAAAATTTACCACTGGCCATTAATATGAAATATCCAATACCTTATTTATATAAGATATATGAAATCAACATAAAGTTGTTAACCCCAATGCATTTTTATATAGAATCAGATTAAAAAGTTACAAAATCTCGCAAAATCATAACCAAAAAAACATTCAATGGCAATGCTTATAAAATGTTTCTTGACATAACACAAATCTGGAAATAAGCTGTTAAAGTGGAGAAATTGGCCTTATAAAACGTACCTGAATTTGTGTCCGCCATATAGGGATGATCGTAACTGCATTCAAGGGGATTGGGTCAAATTTCAATAGTAGAGGTCAAAATATCATGGCTAATTTAAAAAACGTGTTAAATAAACTTTTTCAACATATTTTTTCCAATCAAGATACTTATTGAATCATTATAAATAGATAATGAAGTTGAAATGCTTGATCGTTTTACAATCTGCATTTTGGGATACGGCACTGTATTTAAGAAGAAATCTGTCAGACGACTACCCGTAAGAGTTATTGCTCTTAAATAACGATGCTTTCCATTTTTTCCATTTTTGTTTTTTCTTAAACTATAATAGATAGAGAAAACTTAAATAAGCAAATGAAGTTCAATAAAACAAGACAGAACTGTACGTGTGTTCTGAACACGTTCCAAGTGTGCCGAAAAAATATACGGTGCAGTATGGTTTCAACATCATATTAACATCGTCCAACTTTCATATACATATATATAATTGCTTACATTCATGTATTGAAACATCTTCTTAATTGCTCTGCTCTTTTACAGACAGTTGATGCTAATGTGTCTGTGTGTGATTTCTAATCGTTCACATCGCATTGTTACCATAGTAGCATTGTTAGGATTGCCACAAATTGACAAGCAGTTTATTTGATACCATTACCCATGATTTAAAGAAATGGAATTTACGCGAGTAGACAAAAACATTCAATAAACAACCAAGCTGAGTTAAAAAAACGGTGAAATTGTTTTTATACTTCTGGAAAAAAATGTCAGTCTTTTGACAATGATGAATTTACTTCAAATTATCCCAACCATACGTTCCATGTTCTTTTTAGTCAGGTGGATGTAATTTAGGAGATAACTGTATCGTATTCTAAGCTTGTCCTTTGTAAAACATAGATTTTACTGTCGCAAAAATGAAACGGATATTTGCGACCGTAAAATTAAGTTTTACGAAGGCCAAGTTTAAAATACAATACGGTTATCTCCATTCTAATGCCACATATCAAAATAAATTCCATTTCAATAAATATTTTGGCTTAAAAATGCCGTAAATAAAAAAAAGTCCGCGAAACTGTTACATCGTCTTTGGCATCTGAACAATGTACCGTCTTAGGTATACTCCCGATGTCAGACATAACCACTAGACATACTTATACTTTTCATACGATTCTAAGTGGTAAAAATATTGACAAAAAGAAGATTTTGAGGTACAAAATGTGACTTTTTTGTATATTTTTTGAGAAATAACAAAATCAGAATTCACAATTGTGGCTTTCGTTAGTTACGGACTGGTAGAACGTGGAATCTAACCCTTCAAAATTTTGTCAACGTCCAATGAAAATCATGGTTCTAAACGAATTGCATTAGAATTATAGTTGCGACTTTTCCACGATGGGTAAAGTTGTCTTGTGAGAGAATGTTATGTGCTGGTGATGTGGTCTTGAACGGGGCTGGTGATCAAACCAAAGACAAGACGATTATTTTTTACATTTTCTTAAATTACAGATAAAAAGAAATAGTTTAGATGTTGTAATTTGGTTCCTTATTGGTTCAAAGGCGAGCAACTAAAAAAAATCCCTCTATACTGCTTCAGTCAGTGTAACACAAAAATGCTCATTTTAGAACATTTGACATCAAAGAAAGTAAACCAAAATGCTCTCGAAGTCCGCTTTCTATACCAAAATACGTAGGGCATAATAATTCAGTGAAAAACAAAGTCAGTGACCCTCAACAACATATCAATTTTTAAATAAAATCGTTTCATTTGTTATTGGAGATTTGATGGTTTAAAGACAAATTTAATTTTTTTTTAAACAGATTTTATTTGCTTTCTATACAAATGTGCATTCCTTTGAAAGAAATTTAATGACAAACACAGAGATGTGCCTCGCCTGTATGTGAAACGAAAATGTTGATTTCGAGACCAACATGTTTCGCTGGATTCATCCAAATGATCCAATATAAAATCAGGTTGTAAATTTCAATATCATTTTGTCTATCTCCTTTAACCATAGATTGTTTAAAGGAAATGATTTATTGACGCTCTTTCTTGCATATAGATCATTTATATTAGCAGACACATCCCCACCGCACCTTTCTTATGTAGTTTTTGCTTTACTGTTTTATTTTGCGAGGAAGAAAGAAACTATTTATAGATAAAATCGAAAATTTGTTTTGATGACAGGTTGAAACTCTGAAATACAAAAGACACATTATAAAAATAGCCGAGAGGATGATAGAGCAGATCGTTACCCCGAGAAAACATTGTTAACTGAGGCGAAGCCAAGGTTGACAATGTCTTTTCGAGGGTTAACAATCTGCTCTATCACCCCTTCAGATATGTGTTATTTAATTTATTATACTGAATGATCTGTTATTACTGTCTATTAAATTTCAAATTCAAAGTAATAAAATATGTCGTCTTGTACATAACAGTCATCCGTATTTATTAAAGCGCACACTTGAGCAAGAGTCTCTGTGAAGGGTAATAGAGTATTTGCCATGGGATAGAGTAAATTGTCTCCCTCGTATTAGCGAATTAAAATCTGGCATTTTAACATGAAGTATAATAATCTTGTTTAAAACAATTTCCAAAAAACTTAATGTTGTGAAAAGGAAACATATCAAGTTGGTATGTACACAATAAAAACAAACCATAACTGATAACAGGCAGACAAAACATGTCACATTTTATAATGACGTAATCATAATATTATATCAGTATGCGGAAAGAGGAAATTCATGTCGTGTAAATATAATGTAATGTACATAATATCTGTCTGTGACTTGGTCATATATATATATATTACATCTCTGCAACAGGCAGAAGAATGGTATTGTGGATAGATAGATACAAATATTAATAAACATTATGACTGATTGATTGACTGATTTTTAGTGTTTAACGCCACTGTCCGCACTCTTTATTATATCATGGCTGTCATTTTTTATCAATGGAGGGAAAACTGGCAAGATCCGAGTAGAACACACATTGTCTAAGCGCAATTCCATATAAGTACTAGAAATTGTCATGTGCATACGAGCATAGTTTAGCATCGTCCCTTGGTGCAATCGGTTAATCTTACAGGATACAATAATCCCTATGCATCAAACACAAATGTGACGTACTAGTTATGTACCGTTCTTAACTTAACAAGCTACCTAATCATTGAGAATTTTTAGCACTTGATATTTTTAGTTGTAAAATAGTCAAATACTGAAGAATCATTTATTTTCGTGGGTACCAATTTTCGTGAAATGAGGAAAACTTTATACAGTTTCATTGCTATTTGATTTTGTGGTTTTTCCAAGGTCTGCATACAAGTCTAAAGAAAATTTGTAATTTATTGAACATTTAAATTTGTGGTTCACCTATATCTGCGAAATAAACGAAAATTGGTATCCAAAAAAAAAAAAAAATAAAATCACAGTTGTCTTATTTAAGATCTGATAAATGTGCATTAGCAAAAAATTCAAATACAGCAGTCATGTTTGAATTTAAAACTTGATTGAATTTTTTGATTACATGCCAAGATAAGGTTACTGATATTTGTTGAGCAGTTATACGAGTTTCTTGTATTGTCTTTTCTTTACTATAATAATATTTGTTTTTGAGTCAGAATTCGATATGAATTTTTAAATAAATACATAAAAAGTATGAGTTACCTAGCTTATTTTAGAGTAACTTTAAAATTTGTTTTTGAAATTGTTTTCTCCAAATTGTTGCCTTCTATATATTAAGCTGGGAAAAGTTTAACAGTCAAATTCTAAAAACAGAGGAAATAACTTAACTCTAATTAAAAACAAGTGTTTTTTTTTGGTATTATAACTGATGGGCAATTTGGTACATTTATTATTTTTTTAGATCAGTCCTGTGATGACACTGTATCATTAGGTAGTCATCATAAACACAACTAGTAATAAACAGCTACGCCATGAGCGCATGATATGCCCGTTGTCTTGTGTGTGAATTTTTATGCAATAAGCATAAATAGTTTCTGACATATGGCGTGACATACGAAAACCCCCTTTTTTTTTACAAAAAACTCAATATCTCTAAAATAAAATTTTGAATCAAAACCAAAAAGTATACAGATCTTAAGATTAATATAACTAAGAAGTGTGTAAAATTTTAAGCAATAATCATAAATCGTTTTTGAGATACGGCGCGACATGTGAAAACCCCCCTTTAAAAAAAAATAAATCAATATCTCAAAAATAAATTTTTTAATCAAAACCAAAAAGTATACAGATCTTTAGATTAATATAACTAAGAAGTGTGTAAAATTTTAAGCAATAATCATAAATCGTTTTTGAGATACGGCGCAACATGTGAAAAAACCCTCCCCCTTTTTTTACAAAATACTCAATAACTCAAAAATAAAATTTTGAATCATCACCAAAAAGTATACAGATCTTAAGGTTAATATAAGTAAGAAGTGTGTAAAGTTTTAAGCAATAATCATAAACTGTTTTTGAGATACGGCGCGACATGTGAAAAACCCCTCCCCCTTTTTTAACAAAATACTCAATATCTCTAAAATAAAATTTTGAATCATCACCAAAAAGTATACAGAGATCTTAAGATTAATATAACTAAGGAGTGTGTAAAGTTTCAAGCAATAATCATAAATTGTTTTTGAGATACGGCGCGACATGTGAAAAAAAACACACACCTGTTTTAGTTACTAAGTCCTGTAACTCAAAAAGTTTTAATCTTATTTTCACCAAAAAGTATACAGATCGTTTGACCATCATAAGAAACAACTATGTTAAGTTTCATGAAATTTGGATAAGTCATTCTCAAGTTACGGTGCGACATGTTTACACCGGACAGACAGACGGACAGACCGACGGACGGACGGACACCGGACATTTGTATACCATAATACATCCCGTCAAAAATTGACGGGCGTATAAAAACAGGATGTTGAACATTAGTGTTAACAGTCATCTCCCCTGAAACTAAATCAACTCCCCTTTAGAATCAGTTTAAATATAGACTGGATAGTCAGGTGAATGTTTTTATCCATGCTAAAACATTTTGTTCCAAATGTCCTTGTGACCTACCATTGTTACTTGTTATGTGTAGGTTACCAGTAATGCAAACAAAGCCTAAGGAATAGTTCCAGGCTTTATAAAGACATAATTATACCACTCTACCTGAGTTCAGATCAAATCTTATTAATTTTTCACATGAAATTACCACTGTAATACAAGCTTTCACTGAATGTTCCAGTCAAATTTTATTTGGTACAATAAGATAATAATATACAAAAATAAATTACAAAAACAGTTCTTTATCACAGAATAAGTTGTTCTCCACCCATACCACCACCACCTCCATAATCATCGTCTTTTAATGCATTATCCAGTTTATTCTCATCTGCCAATGCACGAAAATGCTGAAAAAGAAGAATTCAAACATTAGTATTAATCTAAGTATTTCTGATTTTTTTAGTATTTGTCTTCAGTGTTCGCAAGTGACAAACAATCCATGAACAGGAAAGGCCTTAACCATTAAATGGCAACTTTGATCTTAAATTTTGAATACTTAAACTACCATTTTAATTAATAATTTCAAAAATCTCCTATAAAAACATTCAATAGTGTACACGATATTCAAACATGCATTTTTCGTTTTATTCACATTTGCACTATCCTTGTTTAATAACTTACCTGTGAATTTTTAAATTCAGAATACAGGGTAAATAAAACATGAAGAGCTTGAATCTTTGAATTATGTTGTGATGAACCTTTGTATATTGGTATATCTAATATTGCTGAAATATGAAAAAAAAAAAGAAATTAAAGAAATTTCTAACTTTGATTATTATATTTTTATCTCCCTAACATTCCCCTTTTTAAACATATTCTCCTAATAATGATCAATAATTATGACTTTAATCTCAATGCACATATAATATCTCTTTGTAAGAAAAAATACTCGTAAGTCATGAACATTTCAATAAGCTTATGATAAAATTATTTAATTTCATGTGTAGGATTTATTGTGAAAAAAAATCGCTGCTACATAATAGATAACAATAATTGTTCAACTAAAATCGTTCTACTCACAACAGACAATTTCCACATATTCTGATAAATCACAGTCTAAATCTGCAGTAGGCAAACCAACCTGAAAGAAACAATTATTTATCTCATTTTCTCATTATTAGGAAAGTCAAGTGATAATTTAGAGCCTTTTATTGAAATAAACTCTCTTTTAATATAAAAATAAGGAGATGTGGTATGATTGCCAATGAGACAACCATCCACCCAAGTTCAAATGAAGTGGATGTAAGCAATTATAGGCAATATCAACAATGAGAAAAAACCCATACCATATTGTCAGGTATAAAAGGCCCAGACATTAAAAATATGAAACAGGTCAATTGAGAAAACTAACAGCCTAATTCATAACATAACAATTTACGAAAAACAAATATGACAGACATGAAGCAACGACAACCACTAACTACAAGCTTTTTACATGACTAATGTGAATAGCTAGTGTTTAACAAGAGTGATGATGTTACCTGTGTTCAGGCCAGGATTTATCTTTGAATATATCATTGGCCCAAGAATACAAGGATTATTTTTGTGATTAATTTGTGAATTTTTTTCTTATTTCACAATAACTATTCGTTTTAATATTTTTTGTAAATGACAGGGAGAAATAATTCCCATACATTATTCACTGGGTTTTTATATTCAATGTGTAAACTCTACAAAATGTTTTCGCCAACTCTTGTTGGTTATCATAAGTTTGAACAAGCTTGATTCTACATATATAATATGTTTTAAATAAAATTACACTGAATTTGCCACACTCTCATAATATAAAAATTTGTTTATATATGATAAATATACATTGAATTTAATGGAACAGGTCTACATGTTTTTGTTATGTGAGTAAACATCTCGTTGACCTTTATCCCACACCTTTTTTATTCAAGTAGATAACAAGTAATAAAGTAACATAAAGCAATCATTATTTTATAAAAGAATGCAATATTATACACCTTCTTAACTTAAAAAACTTGTTTTTACAAAGGGTAGTAACTCTGTTCATTTCTAATGAAAAATTTAAATCCAGTGTGACACCATAAAAGCCTAGATTTTTATAATAGAGCTTCATACAAAGTCTTCTTATCATTTCTTTGAAGTTCCAAAAGCTTTGAAAAAGAATTCTAGAAAAAATAAATTGCTTTCTACCAATTTTCATCTGTCCACAACAATACAATAAAATGAGGTAATTTTATATGGGATTGTCTTAAAATTTGCTTTCTCATGAATTTTCTAAGCAGTGACATGCAATTGAAAAGATAGATAGACAAGACACTGGATGCAAAATGATGGGAATGTCTCACACTGATGTTTTAGGCAGGTGAACTAAAATTAACCTGTCAACTGATATACACTCACTTCTTTAAGTAATTCTTCAAACTCAGGAGGCCATTCCTGCATAAGTAGATCTATATCAGGCATGTTCCTGAAAAAAAACATCAGATATCACTTTTAATACAATTAAATCATAATACTGTGGATTCATTTATTTTTGTGGGTATCAATTTTCATGGATTGAGGAAAACTTGCACATTTGTGGGTATTTTATTTCGCGGTTTTGCCAATCTCTGCATACAAAGCCTGTAGAAAATGTGTTATTCATTGAACATTTGAATTCGTGGTTCACCTGTACAAATGAAAACCACGAAAAATTGGTATCCAACGAATAATAATGAATCCACAGTAATTAGTGAAAGTAATGTATTTATCATTTAACCTTAGACAAAATACAGTTATACTTAAAATTTTTGCTGCATGTTGTTTTAAGAATCACTGTTTCAAACTGTTATGAAGGGGAAGTCAAAAAATAATTTAAAATTTGACAAAATTAAGAGACTCATATGACATGTATAATATGATCAGAAGTATCAGGGTAATAATAGTGTATCTTCTGTTTTCAAGTAAAATTCATAACAAATTCAGTATTACTGTAAGCTTAGAATTTACTGCATGCACTATTTACAAATACAAAAGTTAATCCAAAAGAATTGGGAAATTAATTGATGTGATTCCCTACATGCAGGAGAATATTTCTGGCAAAAAATAGGAATTTGAGTAATTGTGATGTTTGTCCTGATTTATTTTCATAAAAATTAATGTATAACATTAATTTCTGATTTTACATTGTACTTCCTCTGTAGTTTTTTAATTCCACAAAAATCAATACACTTGATTTCTCAAATGAACAATTTTTTTGTAATTCAAGAAAAACTTTAATTGGGTCAATGCTCAATTTAGGGATTTATCATGTCACCTAATTAACAATTTATGTTTTGTTTCCCTAAATGCCTGTAACTTCAAACACCACAGGAACAGTACATGTTAAATAGAAAAGGCACTGACATACTAACTTTGAATAGTGAACATTAGGTGGTGGTTTTGTTCTATGTAAATCCCTTATGCTTTCTATCCAATTGTCTATGGCTTTAGGATTCCTTTCTGCACTCTCAAGACTTTTAACAACCTATAAGTAAGAAAGGCAGACTAATGATATCAACAAAAAGTCACTATATACATTTTGTTTACTGACATATTGCAGATTCTTCAAATCTATGGGTATCCCAAAAGATTATTTTCAAATACGTCAGTAAGGGAGTTATCTTAAAAAAATAAGCAAGAACAGAGTGAACTAGAAAGTAAATTAACCTTCAGAACTACAAATATACAAACGTGAATCTGAAATCTGAACAATTGAGTATCTATTTTTCATAATGATTTAAATTACTGTTATTTCAAGAAAGTAACATGGAAATATGAAATAATGTGTGCAACAAATGTTTTTATTTAATAAATATACAATTTACATTGCTAAAATGGTATTTTTTATTTCCAAGCCTTTTATAGCTGACTACAGTATACGGTATGCGTTTTTCTCTTTGTTGAAGACTGTACAGTGACTTATAATTGCTTATATCCAAGTCATTTTAACTCTGATGGAAAGCTGTCTCATTGGCAATCATACCACATCTCCTTATTTTTATAAGTTCTGATATGACTAAAATAAGATCATCAATTATCTCCCTTAACAGCTATAATTGGTCCCTGAAAAAAACAATCCCAAACAACGAAACATTTTATAATACCAAGTGGTAAATGATAATTTGAAAAGTATTAATTTGGAAGTAAACAACACTTTTTTGTTGCTCATGGAAAGTGTAATATCTCTTACTGAAATATGTAACCTCAACATCCTTGTCATTTAAGGATAAAATAAAACTTCAAATCAAAAGATTTCAAAATTGGCTGATATCAAATTATCTTTGAAAACACCATACTATCTGTAAATAATTTTATATCACAGAATTTGATAAAATTGTTAGTATCTACAAACCACTTTTCTATCTGTGCTCTGTTTTGATATAGCTCTAAGTTGTAGATCTAACACTGTTGGGTCGGACTGTTTAGCGCAGGGTTCATCTAAAACTGTCAGTCCTAATGTGTCTGGTTTACTGTCTGGACGAATGATCTGTTACATAAAATGACAACTATACAGAAAAATAAACACTATTCCTACTTCAAAATATAGCCATTCACTTCAGTAATGATTCAGTATATTTTTCATTATTTATCAAAAGATCTTCTTCATTCTCAAATACTGTAATTTTTTAAATCTCTATAGTCATATTTTTCTACACAACTACAAGGGACCAAGCCACGAGCTGTATCTCAATCCTGACAGCAACCATGAACTTTTTCTCATTTGACTTCCATATTCCATTGACTAGTGGTCAACAAAGTCCCTGTTCATAATTTACACAGGAAAGTAATATGAGTCATTCAGACAAGGTGTGGTTTAATTCAATCTATTGGTTTCACAGAAGATTGTTCAGTCATTTGTGAACAATAACGAAAGACAGAAACCCATGGATATGACACACATCCATGAACAGAAAACAATTTTTGTCAATGTCTACACCACATGTATCATGAACACATAATGACATATACAGGTTACTTTTTTCTTGATCCGAGAGATGAACTGTAGTTTTCTGTGTTATATATTACACCCTAAATGTATAAAATTGGTGTTTGGACCTAGGTCAGGGTCTTCCTTAAAGGTTTAGAGCCAGTTTATATGAGTAAGAGTCATAAAAAGGAGACACTGTGTGAGGTAAATCTCACCGTAGAAAATCATACCGTTACATTGATTTATAATATTCTTATACTAATAATTCATTAGGCTTTGTCTGATGTGCTATAATTTGTCATTGTTTCTTTTCATATATTTTGTGTTTTGGATAAGCTCACACTACTAACCTTTACGAATGCATCAATATCACCAACTGCAGGTATAAAATCTGGTATAAAAGGCTTTAGCTTGTTTTCTAATTCTATAGACTGAGGTGTGTATCTGTAAGAAATGATAGAACAATTACAATCAATAATATAACTATCTAACTAAAGTTGTTTCTATAAAATAATGGTTCCAACTGTTAAAATAACATAAACCAGTGCCTTTTTACACAATTCAACATAAGTAATCACTTGCAGAAAAGTTACAAAAGAAAAATCATGTCGGGCAATACAATAGCTGTTTTCTTCTGATTCAAGTAGAAATAATTATAAGTCATTGTAAGTTACCCTACAAAAAATAATAGGTTTCAGAGTTTTTCAAAAAGTTTGAAGTAAACTTGTATATTTACCTTGTGATATATTGGAATAATTCTTTGATCTCTGGCGATACAGGTAAATTTTCATAGTCCCCTGGATCGTAAGCTCTAAAAAACAATGAAATTACTAAATAAAATGTATATGAACTTGAAATGTGTTTGTACCAGCTAACAAAGCAGTCAACAATATTGACCGTTTTGATGTAAATACTTTACTGAAATACTCAAAGCTAGGATCACAAATTTTAGTACATTCATATTTACTACTTCTAATGACAAAAAGATTGTAGATGAATAGGTTTCAAAAACAACTGTACTAAAAGCTGCTACTGCACATTACAAAGTTCCCACTGTGTATTTGCTTTATAAATTACACAAGAAACCATATATATTTTGTTTTATATCTGCATCCAGTAAATTTGTAATATGAATTGCTTACATTGCAGATAAAAATGACTTTAAAAACAACTAAATCTCACCCTTCTAATGGTACATGTTCATCATCATCGTCGTCGTCATCATCATCGTCATCTTCCTCGGTAGTTTCTGACCCTGTTTCTTCATCCTCCGAATTAAACTGTCCATCAGATTTCACAGGTAGCATATTTCCACTTCTCGGCTGTTGGTCCAGAGCCTGTAGTTGTTGTTGTTGCATTCTCTGTTGATGCTGCTGTTGGAACTGTTGAGCTTCTTGTTGCATGTGCTGTTGCTATAGGAATAAAAAACAAACAAGTATGACAAGTAATGAATTAACTTTGTGTCTCAATAATGGGACATAATGATAAAATAACTTCCTATAAAAGAAAATTACTGATAGTTTGGCCCTATTTTCAAATCCCCATTATCTTAATGAAATATACATCTATGGTCAAGATTTGATGAAAAATAGGCTTCATGGATATCTTACATGTCTGACAAATCATAAGGGTCATCATATATTATAAATAATGGTAAAAATGCTGTCAGTTCAAGAAAAGTGGTAGCCAAACAGTATGCAACTTACATTTGTTCTGAAATAATAAGGACAAAGAGGTATACCAGTACAAATATCATTATGGTTATTCATAACAAGCATTCTGAGAGTATTGCATGGCAATACATAGTCCCCTACCGGGTAAAAATTCGTTATACTGGAACAAAATGCTAACTTGTTCTATAACTTGTCATGGTGTAAACAAAAAGAAAATATCAAGTCAATATCTTCAAGCATGACTAAAAACAGTGTGGAAAACTGAATATATGAGCAAATTTTTTCAAGTCCAAGAAACATAACTCTGCACAAAATTATCAGACCGAAACAAAAATTTGAACTTGATCTGTAACTTGTCATGATAAAACTATATACCAATTGTCAATCAATATCTTCAAGCATGATGAAAAAAAGTGTGGAAAACCTATAACACTTTAACATTAGATATGATTAATAGTTCTCTTAAATTAGATATGATGTAATACAATGTATATCTATTTTCAAATTACAATCAAATATAATTAATAGTTCCAAATATTTTTTCTTTCATTTGTCACAAACTAATATAGATTTGTAACTTATCTATAAAATGTCAACAACTTTTATCTACACAATTTAATGTAATGAAATATATACCTTAATATATATAGATTATTATCTAATTAAAGGATTTCACTTAATAAAAAAATAAATATATATATATACATGTAGCATTCAGAAAATTAGTTATACAAAATAACATATAAACCTGCCACAAAATTCCTCAATCAATTTACCAAAGAATGTCTTTTAAAATAAAATGCTTCGCTGAGCGCAGCCTGATACGACCGCAGAGGTTGAACCCTGAACAATTGGGGCAAATTTGGACACAGTATTCAAGCTTGATACTGTCTGAATTCGGATTGTGATCAAATTTTTGACATAATATAGGTTTCTGACACAAAATAAATGTGGTCAAAGACAGGGTTTAAGCTAGGATTTTGAGGGCTTTAGTCACTTTTGCGCAAGATGAAAATCAACATTATTTTGGGTAACAGCAAGGGATCAAGGATGTATGTATATTACTAGCTATACATCTTTGTCAGACTTTGAAGGACTAAGGCATTAATTTACTAGCCTAAGGCAGTAATTGCATGATTTGACTGATGTGTCACTTAAATATGAAGATTAGGATATAAGATCTGAAAATCTAGTTCAAAATTTTACTTCAATTAGTTTCTGGGGACATTCCTGATCAACAAAAGTTGGGTTCTTTTTTTAAAACCAGGAATCACAGTATAAATGAACTTGTTGAACTTTGTAAGACTATTACACTGCATAATCATTAACGATATTTTGAATAAATTTCTATAAAGTTGGAACCAAGGATTTGTACAAATTCACATGGAACGATTCCAATAACTGTAAATTGTAAATTAATCGAGAATTGATCAAGTTTACTTTCGATTTTCAAATGAAATGTAAACGGGAAGTGACAAGTAGTTAATAAATCTAGAATGAATCCGGATTCATCTACGGATTGGTTCGTGTTTAAAAAAAGGCAGGAAATTATAATTTTTTTATTTCAATTTGCTTAGTAAGAACTATATTTGTCTCTCTCATTTAATTTGGCACTAAATTTATTTCGTATTTTACGTTTTAGTGTCTATAAATGCATAGGAATACTTTCAAGCATGCGCAGTATATCGTAAAGGAAGCACCTGTTTGACTCGTTGATAATGATGGAAGTTTTTAATGTGAAAACATTTCTGAACGTTTTGAATAAAGTTCTATCTTTTTAATAGAAATTGAACGTTTTATATCAAAGATGACGAAAATACGATCATTTGACAAAACAACGACAAACGAACTGCAAATTATGATCGTTTTAGAAATATTGAAATTAAAAAGCGAACTGTCCGGGGGAAAACAATTTTGTTCAAATGACGAAACTACGTCTAACGAACTGCAAATTGTGGTCGTTGGCCTTAAGAAATATTGAAATTAAAATGCAGACTGACTAATTTTACTGGGGAAAATAATTTACTGGATTAGTGACCCATCCGATGGTGATAAGAGGATAAGCTGTAATCACAACTTTATAACACCTGTTGTAAATGTTAATTAGCTGAGGGTCATAAACTTGTCAGAAACATGTAGACAGGTAGAATTATAGTATTTTCAAGCGAAAATATTTTTACACTTTCCAAATTTAAGTGACGAAATTGATTTGAAATACTTTCGTCATATTGAAAACAGTTTCGTAAATTACGAAAGTGACGAGTGCTAGCAAAATCACTGGTCAAAGATCTTATAAATCCATTGCGCAATACTGTGCAATTGAAGATTTCTTCTTGAAACTTTTCAAAAATTTGAAATTTCAAAAAATTTGAAAAAAATTATGGATCCCTTAAAAAATTGGGAAAAAAATTCTCCCCCCCCCCAACTTTTTGGAACCCCCCTTAGAGCAATAACCCCAAAACTCAATCCCAGCCTTTCCTTTGTAGTATGGAACCTTGTAGTACAATTTCAGAGAGATCCATACACTTACACACAAGTGATTGTCTGGAAACTAGAAAAATGCTTGTTTTTGGCCCCTAATTCCTACATGTTTGGGGCAATTAACCCCAAACTCAATCCCAGCCTTCCCTTTGTTATATGGAACCTTGTGGTACAATGTCAGAGAGATCCATACACTTACACACAAGTGATTGTCTGGAAACTAGAAAAATGCTTGTTTTTGGCCTTTTTTTGGCCCCTAATTCCTACATGTTTGGGGCAATTAACCCTAAACTCAATCCCAGCCTTCCCTTTGTTATATGGAACCTTGTGGTACAATGTCAGAGAGATCCATACACTTACACACAAGTTATTGTCTGGAAACTAGAAAAATGCTTGTTTTTGGCCCCTTTTTGGCCCTTAATTCCTAAACTGTTGGCCCCCATAACCCCTTACATGAATCCCAACCTTCTACTTGTGGTATTAAACTTTGTGGTACAATTTCAGAGCAATCGAAATACTTATACACAAGTTATTATCCTGAAACTAGAAAAAATGATTGTTTTGGGCCCCTAATTCCTAAATGGTTGGGACCATCATCCCCAAAATCAATCCCAACCTTCCTTTTGTGGTATTGAACCTTCTTAATAAATTTCACAGAGATCCATTCACTTAAACTAAAGTATTTGTCCGGAAACCAATGCGTCTTCGGACGACAATGGCGACGCAGACGACGATGACGACATCATACCATTATACGATCCCAAAATTTTTTTTGCGGTCGTATAAAAATGAGTTATCTCCCTTTGTACAGATATATGGTTTAACATAGTTCTCTAACATTAGTTATGGACCATAACTCTGGACTAAATCATCAGACTGGAACAAAATTCAAACTTGAACTATAACTTGTCATGATAAAACTATATACCAAATATCAAATCAATATCTTCAAGAACGAAGAAAAAAAGTGTGGAAAGCTGAGTTGCCGGACTGACGGATGGACAGACGGACGGACAGAGTGCAAACCTAAAGTCCCCTTTGACTTCGTCGGTAGGGGACTAATAAACATACGTCGCCCTTTAAAATAACATCAAAAAGAGATTATAGAAGCTGCCATACTGGCAACGGCCAGACACTCTGTACCAGCAACAACACAGAAGTGACAGCAAAATGAAAGCCAAAAGACAAGCAGAACCAACCCTGCAACAATAGGCATGATAGTCCGCAATATCCTAAAGGGTAGCTGGACCCTAAAATCCACATATCATCATCATCATAACTAATATGTCAACCAAATGAGCTTTGTTCATATACTGTTCACAGTGTCACACTGGTTGTACAAAACACTGAAAACATCATTAAGTAGCCTTACAAAAGTTGTTACACGTTATTCTATTCACTTATACCTGTGCTAACTGTTCATCATATTCATCATCTTCTTCGGAGTTCTCTGCACTTATCATGCCTTCTGGTGGGGTGGATCCAGCACTTTTGATTTTGTCAACTAAATAAAAAAATGTGCAACGGTTAACTAATTAAATGGAAACATTACACAAAATATACCAACTATAGGTAAGACCCATTTCATATTACAAACTTATAGGTGCATAAAATGATTAATGTTTAAAGATTGTACAGAAAGATGAAAAGAAAAGGGCAATGATGTTTGAATTGAACTAAAATATAACTTGAACATAATTTGTGCTCTTCCCTATGTTGGAATCTGCCAAATGAGAGATAAAACAAGTTCAGCTTGGTTTCATTTGTCTATAGAACATTTCTAATGGAGGAATAATTGAAAAGGATGCAAATAAATTTGTAATTAATTAATATCGTTTGTTTTTTGTTTCATCATAATTTTTCTGTCACTGTGGTAGTAACAAAATGAAAACTTGAACACAAGCACTATTTTTTAAGCTATAACCAAGATTCTTCACTATTATCACATTGTCTTATGACAAAGCACCAACAGGTGTGCAAACAATATACCAATTGCAATTTCCTAAACAATCATAAAGTACAATTATTTTCTTGCAATATTAGAAAATCATGAAAATAAAGATGATTATAATTATTTGTTAACATTTAATAGGCAAATAAGCCAACTGGTGAAACTATTTTTTTTTTAAATGCAGCATTCTATTATTTTTGCAATATTAAACATTGAAAAAAATATATACTCAGGTTACTGCAAACTAGCTGTACTAAAAATATACTTCTATATCTCATTAAGGAACAAATAATCATTAAATTGTGTTTCAGATTGAAATTAGGGCTCATACTCCTCATCATAAAAGACCCCTCTTTAATTGTTCAAGACAAAATCATATAAACAACAACTTAATTAGAAGTAAAGAACTATTACAAATGTATATGCCCAAAAAAGTGTGTAAGATTTCCACTATGATTTGGAATTCTCTAAAATGCCTTTGGTACTTATTAGGATGAATATGTTATATCATTACTGTGGACTTATCTATTTTTGTGGCTACCAATTTTTATGGATACTTGAATGATTCCATGCTTTTGACACATTCTGTATAGAAGCATATAGTGATAGAAAGTTGTGTTTTGATGAACACTTAAATTCATTGTTCAACTGCATGCCTAGCTTACACACACTAAAAATTAACTGGAATTACTTAGTACCAGCAAATAATAATGAATCCACAGTATCTTCTATGAGGAGGAACTATTCTTTCAGTTAGCTAATCAATTAAATTACTTTTCATCATGCTCATAAAAACTTTTTACATCAATAAAAAAGAATTAGATTAGTAAATTATTAGGATAATATTTTGCAATTTCCCAGAATAAATTTTTCAAATCATGTATCTGAATTTAAACTGTTAATTAAGATAAGTTATTTCCCTTGCAGCAAGGCATAACTGGTTCTCTGCAATGAAGAGTCTAAGTAAAGCAAACTTTTAATCCTAGTTAATATCTGGTTTGTACATGTTATACCAATTTCAGGACAATTTGTGTGTTTTGCTTCCAAAATTTTAATGATACATTCGTTTAGATTATTTGAAGAAGGGGGTTGATAAAATGTAAATGAATGTAATTTTACATGTACATGTATATAAAGTGAATGTAATGTAAATATTACAATTTCATGTATGCCTTATACCAATGCATTTAAAAAAAAAATTTGTATGAGTAAATTGTATAGTCTGAAATGTTTATGTTTCACAAAGATGCACTATCATCATCGCCACTATGAAATCAAAAGTTCAAATCTTAGAAATGGGTATCTGGGTGAGTTTGAACTCATGGGTCAAAAGGAGCAGTTACCTTTATAAGCCATTAAATCTTAACTTAAATAACATGCAGTCTATAAAGATTTTGATAAGTTGTACTGTGAATTGCCAAAATAAAACTGTGTTATCTTGGTGTACAATATGGGTAAAGGATAAAGTCAAAATACAACAAACATGTACACACACTTAAAGAAAACAGACTTATAAATTGATCTCCTGATTTTCATACATCTTTATTTTTTTACATTTAAACATAAGACACAACTATACAAAGTCAAAATACTCCATAAGACACAAGTGTACGAATTTCCAGTGATAAAAATGATACTATATCTAATACTACCTGAGTTAGTATATATATTACCTGGTCGTCCTAGGCGATCTATACCTGTACAAATGTATGTAGAGGAGTATTTTACATCAGAATATACTGCTATCTAAATCTAACACATTAAATATGAGAGAAAACAGTCTTGTTGCTATCAAATGACAACCACATTTGAACTTTAGTGAATAATGACAATCCATTCAAAGCAGTGCTTCATAATTCAAATTTTCCCATGTCAGGAAAAATAAAGTGTTTACAAAAAATTGAACCTTTTTAGAATTAGCTGACTTTATTTTTATTTGAACATTTTATACCTTTTTATTTCAATGTGAAAGTTCATAAATTTTCAGGTAGAGAATTCATACCAGTATATGTCCCCTTTATCTAATTTAATGTTTTTGTTAAAAAACAATAAATGTAGCCTATGGTTTACTTTATTTATCAAATATTTTGTGGATCTTTTTATACTTTTTATAGGTTTTAGAGACAACTGTCAACATGGTCCATCACAACTTTAAAAAGACAAACTTGTTTTCTTGTTTCTTGTAATTGGAAATTATCCATTTCAATTAATCTTTTCTCTCAGAAGTTAAGGGAACCATCTTTTAGAAAAATGTATAATACTAGTACATGTATACTGATGAGACATCTACCCAATTAATTTGTTTCTGGTAGAAATATTCAAAACACACCACATGTACACAAAATGAAAGACACACAACACATGAATCACTGACATATGTGTACATACCAGGTATTCCCAGTAGTTTACCTCCTGTTACATGATAGCATTAGAGAGAAAGTTCAAAATATTAAAAATACACAATGAAAATTATAGTTAGAAACCATAAAATGTCTAGTTGCAAACATTTGTAAACATCTATATGAAACTGAAATATATTTTTTTTAAAGAAAATAATAGAGAATGAATGTATGTTGTTTCATAGGCAAGATGTCATTGTCTATAAACAGTTATAAGTATTTATAGAGTTTTCTTACCAGAAGGGTGGTGTACTCGTGGAGTTGGTGAGTATGTGCTAGCAACTTCTTCACCGTCAGGAACCTCCAAAGCTTCGTCGTATGGCTGATTCTGAAAATGTTTTGCCTGAAAATAAAAATACGAAAATTCTAATATTCTAAAATTGAAATATGCATTTTCACATCACATTTGGGACAGGGTGATTGGTCTTAACCTGCTAAATTACGATATTCTGATGCAATAAAATAAGAAGCAACACAGCAATGTAACTTATCTTTTAACATGAACCAGGATTTACACTTCCACTGCACCTTCTTCCTTTGAAACTGATGGTGAAAGTTTTTCTCATGTCTGAACTGCAAAGTAGAAGGGTACAAATTAACACCATCAAGAAGTTTGACAGACCTGTGCCCCTGTGTCATGCAAACTTCATGAACTTGAAGCACAGCATGAGAAATATTTGATCCATCTTTTCTTGGCCATGTTGTTTATGCTTGTAACAAGCTGTGAATATGGTCCTCCTGTAGCTGGAGCACCATTATACATTTTCTGGTATAGCAGAAAGCCATTGGCAAATAATCTTACTTGAGGTAAAAGTTCCAAGTACAATGTAGGTTGTTAATGGGGTACAAGAAGAGCAGTGGTCCAAGAACATTACCTTCCTGTACTCCTGATGGTACACATACAGAATTTTTCCAGAATATATTGTATTGTATATCAATGTCTTTCTTATTGCATTGGTCATTTGAAAATTTGTAATACAAATGTTAGTCATTCTCTTCATTAATAATTGACCACTGGACGTTAAGCAACCAACAATCAATCAATCAATCATTAATAATTGGGTTTCACCTGATATTCCTCATCTAAAACCATGCTGGGGTGTCGTCATGTTTCTGTTTCTCTCTAGGTGTTCAAAATATGCATATAATAATATGCCCAATCATCAGCTTGTACATGTATGTGAGTGAAAATGGTCGATGATTTTCTGGAGTGTACCGTCTTTTGGTATGTACAGCGCGCACATTTATACCCTGGGTCATGTTTCTTGTAAGAGGGGTGCACGTTATACATGCCTACAGACATTTTCTTAGTCTTTTTTCAGGTCCAAACTCCGACAAAGAAATTTCCAGAAGTGAAGAGTACGAAATATTTTTGCTAAAACCTTGATTGTTTTTATGTTTTACATGTTATATTTGTAATATGTACATTGTATCTTATTGTTCATGATTTGTCATGTTTTATTCAAATAAAAAACATTTTATATCTCTGTAGTTACGTTTATTGCGTAAATTTGTCCATAAAGACACAGTAAAGCTTTTGTTGTCAGTTAAATTAGCCTCTGTGTTCCTTATTGTCATAACTTACTGTTTTTATATGTGTTCATCATGGAGAGTAGAAGAAAAGTGTATGAAAATTGAATAAACCACGCTCGTTTTAAAAGATAAACTGCCATTTTTTCTAATGTATTAGGTGATCGCCAGTCATGTGGGTCAGTCATGTGACTTGATATTGTAAAGTGATGATTTAGTCTATGAGAAGTTTATTTTTATAAATATTATACGTTTCTACTTTCATGACTTTGTAACTTTTAAACAACTGTTTAAAACTGTTCAAGAAATTATGATTGAAAACATAATCCCATAATTGTAACCTGAACGAATTTAATTAGGAACAAGGTGAACCTATCACTGATTTGTTTTGACATCGATTAGACCCGTTGATTGAGGTGTGATAATCCGAATTAACAGCGAGAATCAACAGACAAAAAATAAAAATAATGAGATTTTAACAATTTATTACAGCACTAATGATGGTTAATGATAATCATTTGACTGATTCGTAATTATGTTATTGTTTCAATCAGAACATTAATTTGGATATTTAATCTTGTCTTTGATACTCAAACAATTTATTAAATTTGGTTTTAAAAAAACAAACTTAAATGTAGATTTATCTCAATCTAATAAAATTCTTACTCATTTGTCAGAATATTTGCAATTTCATATTAATTACCTATTCCGTACAGAATTCTCCGACATCGGTGTCCATTTAAAAAACTTCCTGTTTGCAGATTTTGGAGCTGTTACTTTTCCGAAAATGTCTATGAGTCTTATACTAACAATAAACTTTTTTCTCACGTTTCTTGGACCATAAAGGGGGTGCGCACTATACACCCCAAAAGACGGTACATGTACAAAAATGTAGATTTCCTTTCCTTTAAACAAAAGTGATATTATTGTTATGCAATCAGTACGTACATGTACGGATGTAAACTGATCTACTTCTTAGGTAGTTTGTGGTGTTGAATTTTCTGTATCTTTTGTAAAAATCTACATAAATTTATATATTTTGATCCATGGTAGTGATTTTATTGATGATCGTACCTTTGACTGAGTGTCTTTGTCTATTATGGTGAATACGTTAGAGGTGAATATGAACCAGAGTTGCTGACCTTATTTTACTTTGGGGGTCCCTGTACTTAAGGGTAAGGATTCAGTGTATAATTATAGTTAGGAAAAGGTTTATATTAGTGTTAACAACTGGTTAGTTTATATAATTAGTATAGCTTTATATGGGTTGGGGTCCCTGATGTAAAAGAAGGTTTGGTTCCAAAGTTGAAGAGGTGCTTTGAGATGTTATACTAAATAGATCAATAAGACTAATAGAATTCATTTTTTTCCAAATGGATTATGAGCTGTGGTCAATCAGCAAATTGAAGCCATTAAACAATAACTCTAACTGTAATGTAAAATAACATAAGCATTGTGACATCAACAATGATATTGATAAGGGAAAATGCAAGAATGTGAAAGACCTCGGTCTCTGACTATGTATGTATAGATATGGAGATTGGCCCAAAGCATTTAATCTATAAATAGAAATTGGCAATAGCATGTATGACAGTGTCGGTATTTCATTGAAATAAGTGAATGTGGTTGGCTGCTGTCAATATGAGAATGATAAAGCGCAAGATGTTTACATTAGCAACATATGATTTTTTTCAATAAAAAACTATAATTATGTGCTGAAAACTTTAAAAAGGTACGGGAAATATTATAAACATCTAAAGCATATATACTGCTTTAATATAATCTCACTAATATTTGGAAAATAGCTCAATTATTTTACGTTTTCACGCTCTTCGTCGTAGTCTTCGTCCATCGAGTTTGGAATGCAAGTGCATTATGGGATCGTCAGGTTTCACTAAAAACCAAATGAGTAATGTAGAACAACTGGTATAATATAATAATATTGATGTAAATTCTGTACAGCAAAATAATAATTATTATTAATTTTAGTGGTGTACATAGTAACGATAAATCCCAGACCATTAAATAGTAATCTATATTTTTATTTATTTTATTTTTTAATTATTTTTTTTATTTTTTTTATTCAAGAAATAAATAAACTCAAGCATGTCCTTTAGTTTTTACTATTAAATCTATTTCACTCCTTTTAGACCTGTGCATTTAAGATATCTTAATTAACAATATTTTATCCTTAATGTACATAAAATCATAAAATAGTAGGTGTAAATATTTTTATAATAGATTTTACATTACTACGTGATTTTAGGACAACAATATATTTTGTTTTTTAAGGATTGTATATATATATTAAACTAGTCCGTTCCATGTTTTTAAACAATATTAATTGAAAATAAGGGCTTTCTTTTTTTTGTTTACCGTGTGACACGGGTGCTCCGTAGCGGAGGAATTTACTTAGAGAAGAAGAAGTAATCTAAACAATGACCCAAAATATGAAGATCAAACTGAAAATCTGTGTATATTTTAAATAGGCACTATGTAAATGATTCACTCGCACTAATAGGTGTAAATAGAGATCGATTATGATGTTTTGTTTTATTTTTACATTTAGGTGTATATCCTTTCTATTTTTAAGACATTTTAAACATTAAAATACTTATAACAGATTGTATATAGACCCTTTTATCATTATTTTATTATTTTACTTTTTAATTAATTATACCAGTAAAAGTAAGGGCTTTTAATACCGTGTGACACGGGTGCTCCGATATCGGAGGAATCTACTTAGAGAAGAAGAAGAACTTGTCGGTACAGTATTTTTTTATGAATTGGATATAAGCTTGAACACCTTGGATATTCTTGGTAAATTGTTTTGATTAAGATTTTGAAAAGATTATTGATTAATCATTGAACTATGAATATAGAAGACTGCCAGTTAGCTTACATATAAAAGAAAATCGAAAATTAAATTTTGTCACAGTAGAGAACTTGAAGAAGATCATAAACGACATTTTTTGAAAATTGAAATTATAAGCAGAGGTATTGATTTTATTTACTTATCTAGTATACCTGATTCTGCCATTCAAAACATTATACCTCCCTGTGTTGATAAAGTAAAACCACCTATTATTTCGTATACGTATACAAAAAACCAGTTACTGTACTGAAGTTTAATGATTTCAAGTTTTAAATTAATCAATGATTATACGTCAATTACATCAGACGTCAGTATGGATAATTAATTTAATGCTCATTGAAACCGTGTTGCAAGGTCATTATAGACGCTCTTTCCTCCTATTGTAAAAAATGGTGTAAACGGGGAAAATCTTATAAAAAGTCTCTTGAATACCTTTATGAACCATTGTTTACTCTTAACTTTCAGAATGGGATTTGTTTACGGAGAGATGCAGAGGTGACCATGAACGAGTAATAAAAATCTCTAGGTTTTATAGAGGTAAACAGTTGATGTATTGCTCATCATCATGTCTGATCTTAGATTTCAAAAATAAACAAAAAAACAAAAAAACACACACACAAGACTCACAAAGGCAAGAAGTTCCTGACTTGACCGTATCTATTAAAGTCGAGATTTTATTAGTACATCGTAGTACAATTCAGTTGTAGTAGTTCACAGTAGTACAATCGGTCTCTCTCTTTCTATCACACTACAAATGGTATTGCGCAAAAAGGCTTAGAAATATTCCGAATCCGTAGTAACATTTAATTGCTGTTTGCCAAATGTCTTATGGCAAATAATTCATGCATAATCATAATGATAAGTCGTAGAACACAACATTCGTATGAAAATACAGGTATTTGGCATTAAATACATATAATGCAACATATTAATTTCAGATGTTGAAACCCGATTTTCCTATCTTCTGTAAATGGTAGATACAAAAGAGCCAAGAAAATTACTGCAGATGGAAAATTATGCAACAATGTCGATTTCCAGACAATAAGAAGTAACTGGTTACCAGTCGTTTCAATGCAGACGTACTAAGTGGAAAGAAGAACATTTCCGAACAGGGAACCCAGCCCAGCTCACTATGGTTAAAGGAACAATAGGTAAATGTAACAACATCTAAAATAAAAAGTTTAACATTTCAAAAAAATTCAAACGTAAAAGCAAGGTCAATAATCCTCTAGTGTTGATTTAAAACCAATAAACTGAATATAAAACTTTTAAGAATCATTCTCTGACCCTCTTAATACAGTTACCATAACAAATACATTCATTGCCCAACAAAATATCATTATTATAACCGGTACATTCATTGCCCGACAAACTATCGTTATCATAACATGTACTTTCATTGCCCAACAAAATATTGTTATGATAACAAGTACGAATATTGCCCGACAAAATATTGTTATTGAAATATTTACATTCATTGCCTGACAAAATATAGTTAGTGGAACAGGTACATTCATCGTCCTACAATATATCGTAATTATAACAGTTGCATTCGTTGCCCGACAAAATATCGTTATCATAACAGGTCCATTCATTGCCCGACAAAATATCACAACTATAAGAGTTTCATTTTTTGCCCGACAAAATATCGTTATAACAGTTACAGTGGGGTCCTACATTTCTGATTTTTTAATTTTTTAGGCCATTTTTCTCTATTCTTTATAGATTTTTCCTATTATTCTCTATTCTTTATATTTTAGCCTCCATTATTCTCTATTCTTTATTTTTTGGCCTATTTTTCTCTATTCTTTATCTTTTTAGCCCTTTATTATGCACATTTTGCCCAGTATTCTCTATTCTTAAAACCCCATCCAGACCCTCTTGTAAGTGCTCTCAAGTGTACAATTCTTGCCAGATATTTATGAATTTTAAATCAAAGGTGTATCAGCAATGTCTCGATTGAGTTTGAAAATCAGCGCTGATCTATTATTTTACAGGAGTTATGTCTCTTTGAAATATGAATTATATTGAACATTGCGTTGTAAACAATCTTTGTCAAATTTTATGGAGTTTATAACAATTAAAGGATTACAACAGCAAGATCTTGGAAGAGTGCTAACCAACTATTTTTACAGGAGTTAAGACCCCTTGGAAATATATGAAAAACACAACTTTGCTAGCGATCTCATGTCAATCCGACTCATCATTTCTCTTAGATATGTATTTATAGAACGTTTTAAAGAACACACATTTTTTTAACTAGTTATTGCCCTTTGACTGATAAAAATATGTGCAACGCGGGAGACATTGGAACTCTATTATTTTGAAAATTTCTAGAAATGCGGACACTTTCTTCATCTTTTGGATTTTTGTGTGTTTATATTTCTTTCTCAGTAACTTTCACATCACTTCTCATTTTATTCATACCTTTCTCGTATAATTTGTTTCATTTCACCAAAATTTTACATCCTCACACTGAATTATTTTGATGGTTATCTTTCTCATTTTCCGAAATCATGTAATCGATCGCAAATGCCCGTTATGTATTTTAGTATCTTGTTTTTCTTTTCAAGTATGTTGACATTTGAAATAATGCAATACAAACATGACTTCAAGTCAATGTCTAGTGACCATTGAGGAAACACTTGAAAGTTGAAATACATAACTGTTTGAATTCTATTACAGACAGTGAATTGTTGAAAATAAGGAAAGACATGTCCGAGGATATGTTGTCACTTGAAGAAGTGACCAAAGACGTTAGGCTGCTACAGAAGTATTTTGGTAAGTAAACTGACACCAAAACCCTTGCAAGTGACAGAAGAATTCCTTTGCAATCACTTGCTCATTACTCAGGACTCCTCTATATTAGAAACTACATATATGATAATGAAATAAATGAGTACAAACTATTGGTGAATCCTCTTTTCACGGAACATTTTATTACACCTTTTACACGGATATGTTTATCTGTTCATTTCTCATACATCAATGTGAATCTAGTTTTTCAGGGAGCCAAATTGTACCACCACCAGCTGTCTAAGTACAAGTACAATTGAAATATCACAAAAGACTTTTATTGAAATGACAAGAACATCTGTGGTGCGTACAAATTAGAAATCAACACAGGACCAAAGAGCTACGTTCCGCAGCTACCAAAGTATCTGAAAGGTTTAGCCGCAGCGCGATCGCAAATAACGAAGATGGAAAATCTAACAAGTAATTCCTTGATACTACACACCTAATACAAACAATTCTTGAGTTGACAAACTATTCTTGATGTATGTACAAAATAATGAACGAAAAACAAATAGGATATACAGCAACAAACGACAACTACTGAATTACAGGCTCCTGTCTTGGGACAGGCACATACAGAATGTGGACGGGTTAAACATGTTAGGGGCGCCCAAACCCTCCCCTAACCTGGGACAGTGGTGTAACAGTACAACATATGAACAAACTATAAAAACCAGTTGAAAAAGGCTTAACTTATCTGATCGATACAAAGCACAAAAACAAGTAACACACACAGTGGATTTAGTGTAAAGACGTCATTAACAGTAAGTGAAAAACATGACCTTGTGCAATGCCAAGATACAGGTGTCAATAGATTGTAGAGTCATGATTGTACATATGTATATATTAGTTTGATTTTAATTTACTGATAACAAAATCAATATTTATACCAATAAAAACAATATTCAAAGATCTAATTATAGTGCTAAATTGGTAACCTTTTAGAATAAGTTTAAGGATCGATAAGTTTACCCGGATCGTATCTAAATTTCCGGGCTCGTTAAACAACATCTCCGTAAAAACTATGATGTGCTATCCCGTTAAAAATAAGTTTTCTACAGGAACAACCAAACTTCCAAACCAAATCTTTAAATCTATGGAAGAATTTAGTAAAGGTTTTAAGTAATTTGTGGTAACGAAATCCTTGACTTAATAATTTACCAGTGATACATAGATTACGTTCATTGAAATCCAAAATGTCACAACATACACGGGCATAGCCAACGAGTTGTGATATATAAACACCGTAAGATGGTGCCAAAGGAACATCACCGTCCAAAAAAGGAAAATTTACAATAGGGAAAGAAAAATCGTCCCTTTTGTCGTAAATTTTAGTGTAGAGTTTCCCGTGTAAAAATGATATCTAAATCTAGGAAAGGACAGTTTATACCGTTTATATTTGATTTATTTAAAGTAAGTTCCTTTGGGGAAATTTCGGCAGTATATTTAGCCTTCCAACAATGTATGGTAGGTTCTCACTTAATGATATTTTTTATTTTGCAGGCAGATGAAGCTCAAACTAACTCGTTGGTAGATGACAAGTTCTGAAGACTATTATATGTGTTTTATGAAATTTCAATGTGTTTTGTAATTAAGCAATACTGTTGTATTTGTTATTGTTGGTGACATCAACTATTGTCATTTAAGAATTATCAAAATCTCATCTTGTTCATGATAAAAATAAATCTTTTTTTGAAGTGCCAGATTCGTTCGTTCTTATGAATATAAACTCATCATAGATACGAGGCTTAAATTTTGTACGCCAGACGTGCGATGAAATGTTAGAAATTGAAAACTAGAGGCTCCCAAGAGCCTGTGTCGTTCACCTGATTCTACTTTGGTTTTGGAAATCATGTTAAAATAGATTACAATCATAACAGATACCCTAATAATGATTGAGATCAAATTTGGTTTAATATTGGCCCCGTAATTTAAACAAAAGCAGAAGACTTTTGTAAAGTTTACAGAAATTACCAATAAATTCATTGAAATTGTAGAAAATTATTTATAAGGACAATGACAAATCAGCTACAAAGTAACAACACTTGGTCAGCACCTCAAAAGACACATTCATGCCATGTTTGGTTTCAATCCATTAAGCGATTTTCTAGAAGAAGACATTTGTATATATTTTCCCAGAGGGTCCTATGTTAAACTAAGTCCCCCGTTGGCAGCCATTTTGGTTGATGGATTTGCTACAAAGTAACAACACTTGGTCAGCACATCATAAGGAACATTCATGCCATGTTTGGTTTCATTCCATTCAATGGTTCTTCAAAAGAAGACTTTTATATGTATTTCACATAGGGTTCTTTGATAAACTAAGTTCACCGCTGACAGCCATCTTGGATGATTGATTGGCTACAAAGCAACAACACTTGGCAAGCACCTCATTAGGAACATTCATGCCATGTTTGGTTTCATTCCATTCAGTGGTTTTCTAAAAGAAAACATTTGTATGTATTCCCATAGGGTCCTATATTAAACTAAGTCCCTGCTGGCGGCCATCTTGGATGATTGATCGCCTACAAAGTTACAACACTTGGGCAGCACCTTATAAGGAACATTCGTGCCATGTTTTATTTAAATTCCATTCAGTGGTTCTCTAAAAGAAGGATTTTATGTATTTGACATAGGGTTCTTTGATAAACTAAGTTCCCCGCTGGCAGCCATCTTGGATGATTGATTGGCTACAAAGCAACAACACTTGGCAAGCACCTCATTAGGAACATTCATGCCATGTTTGGTTTCATTCCATTCAGTGGTTTTCTAAAAGAACACATTTGTATGTATTTCCCGTATGGTCCTATATGTGTATGTTAAACTAATTAAGTCCCCCTCTAGCGGCCATCTTGGATGATGGATAGGCTACAAAGTAACAATACTTGGTCAGCACCTTATATGGAACATGCATGTCATGATTGGTTTCATTCCATTCAGTGGTTCTCTAGAAGAAGTTCAAAATGTAAAAAGTTAACGACGACGACGACGGACGACGGACGCCATGTGATGAGAAAAGCTCACTTGGCCCTTCGTCCCAGATGAACTAAAAATGAGAAAAAACTTATTAATAATTACAATATCTGTTATCTGAACAAATTAACCTACTTAACCTATTTCTCCGGGGAATCTTGGCAATCCAATTAATTAGGATCGAAGCTTCACAACTTTTGCCCAGTCTTAAGTTTCTTTTTATCGTTTATTGGACTTGTATGCCATTTCGTCGATTTTCTTTTTTTTGCGTTGTAAGTTTCTCTTCGACTAATGCATTTTGAATGCCTGCTTGGTATCCACTTCTTATTTTCCCAAAAGACATTACTTTTTTGGAAAACTTTTTTTCTGATTGCTCTGTTCTAAAATCCATAAATATTCAATGAAAATTATCTTCAAGCATAGAAAGAAAGTTGAAGAAAAATATGTTAAAAATCATGTCAGTACAAAAGTACGGACTACTGAGATAATGGGTAAGAAAAAATTCACACACCTAATTAAATGGGCATTTAAAAAGTCAGAATGTGAATATATATGTTCAAACTCTTTTAGGTCATTTTTAAGTAGCAATAAACAAAAAAACTATGTCAATTGGACATGCTTTGATACTATATATGCCCTTGAATTTTTACTAGATAACATTTTTGTTCGCTTTGGAGATTCCGTATATCGTCAGGTTATCGGAATTCCAATGGGGACTAACTGTGCACCACTTATTGTGGACCTTTTTTTGTATTGCTATGAGTTACAATTTATGACAAAAATCAGCAAAGACCCATCGAAACAACATCTGATACACAAATTTAATAATACTTTTAGATATTTGGATGATATTTTGGCTCTCAATAATGACGACTTCAGTATGTATACTAAAGAAATTTATCCTGTTGAACTTACTTTAAATAAAGCTAATACAAACAATGACCACTGCCCTTTCCTCGATCGTGATATCTATATCATTAACGGAAAGCTTAATACTAAAATATATGATAAAAGAGATGATTTTTCATTTCCTATCGTTAATTATCCATTTTTAGATGGTGACGTTCCCTTGTCACCATCTTACGGTGTTTATATATCTCAACTTGTACGATTCGCTCGTGTATGTAACAATGTTTTAGATTTTAACGAGAGAAATTTATGTATTACTGAAAAATTATTACACCAGGGTTTTCGATATCACAAACTAGTCAAAACATTTACTAAATTTTATCATCGGTATAAGGACATCATTCGTAAATATAGCTCAACATGCAGACTTCTTATACGTTCAGGTATTTCACATCCAATTTTTTATGGAAATATTCTTTATAAAGCACAAAAATGTCAGTATTCACCTCTGAAGCTAACAAAACCTTTAAATAGACTTATTAAGAAGGGATATAGTTACGATACTGTTGTCAGGTCATTAAAGATTGCATATTTTGGCGTTAATATTGATTCACTTATAGGGTCTTTGCATCGGCACTAAACACATTTATTTAAAAACCAGTTGTTGGCATGACACGGGTTATGTTCTTCTCATATATGTTATGATGGTATGATACTAAACCCCTAACGGGAAGGATTGTGCCTGATATTCATATGATGAAGACATAATCTTCCAATCAGTTTAATTGAAGTCTGGAGCTGGCATGTCAGTTAACTGCTAGTAGTCTGTTGTTATATATGTATTATTGTCATTTTGTTTATTTTCTTTGGTTACATCTTTTGACATCAGACTCGGACTTCTCTTGAACTGAATTTCAATGTGCGTATTCTTATGCGTTTACTTTTCTACATTGGCTAGAGGTATAGGGGGAGGGTTGAGATCTCATAAACATGTTTAACCCCGCCGCATTTTTGCGCCTGTCCCAAGTCAGGAGCCTCTAGCCTTTGTCAGTCTTGTATTATTTTTAATTTTAGTTTCTTGTATACAATTTGGAGTTTAGTATGGCGTTCATTATCACTGAACTAGTATATATATTTGTTTAGGGGCCAGCTGAAGGACGGGAATTTCTCGCTGCATTGAAGACCTGTTGGTGACCCTCTGCTGTTGTCTGTTCTATGGTCGGGTTGTTGTCTCTTTGACACATTCCCCATTTCCATTCTCAATTTTATGTCACAAATTAATTATTTAAGCTCCTGCTATTACACGATCGGCTGCTGAGCAGATGATACCATCGGGGACTAGCATTTTCCAGCAGCATTTTCGTCCCAGTGCTAGGTCATTGAAAATAACACTTAAGCTGGTGTGTCCGAAACACTTTTCTGGATTTACTTTCATCAGGAACGCTCAAACAAAAACAAAATTTGAAAACCTAGGGTGTACATATACTTTAATACTTGATGAGCTATATGACTAAAAGGGACATTCACAAAAACCAAATTCACCCCAGGTTAACTTTGCCTGGGGAGTAGGGACATTAGTTTCTAAATAATTTCTAACTTTATCGCGGAATTACGACCCTTAGACTTTAATTTGAATGCCTGTATATTTGGAGGTAATATTTAGTACATTAGTGTATAATGATGACTTACAGATGGAGTTAAGTTCCGGTTGACTTTTGCAGAATTACGGTTCTTGTTATATAAATTGATAATTTAAAAAAAAAATCCTAAACTATCCAAGATTTTTTTCGAGCCTCCTATGATATCTTTCATACAGCCAAATAGACTGGGGAACGGGCTATTAACAACCTTTGTTCCCAGTATTGATTCTGTAAGTGCCACTCCTGAGATGACAATTGCTATATATATGAATCATTTATCAATATCTCTCAGTAATGCCATCCACACAGAGACAAAAAATGTTTTACAATGTGTCTGCAAAATTTCAACTGTCATTTACATTCTAGAATGTTTAGCCTGTGGCCAATCTCCGATATATCGGTGAGTCAAAGCACAAACTCATCAATAGACACAGATGTGATGTACAATTCAGCCATATCTCACAGTGAGCAAACACTTCAGAAAGTCGGAGCAAATCCTTGATGACGGCAACCGCATGCACGTTCTTGTGATTGAACAGAACAATCACTGGGATGATACCTAGCAGGGGACAGGGACAGATTTTGGATAAAGGAACGTATTGTTCTTTACTCTGAGGCATTAATTATATTTAACCGAAAGAAATATCTGGTCATGTTTAATATGTAATCATCAGTGATATTTTTGGATGTATATATACATTTTTATATGCATGATTATATTTTGACATTTTAGGATGTATAAGTAAACATACACGGGTTTAGTACAGATTTTTATTGTTAGTTCTATGAAGTTCAAGATCAATGATTAAAATATTAAAATTACCTTAAATTTATACAATGCAAAAGAATACTATGGATTTTCTGATTGTATTTTTTTATTTTGATGAATTATAAATTGTTTGTAGATTTAACTACTAGTATTTCAATTGAAAGACCATATAACCTTGTAAGTGAAGGCTACAAAAATTCGATTTTGTGTAACACTAAACAACATTGCATTTATCAGGTCGAAACTATGCGAGTTAGTCTGCCTAGTGCTTCATGATCGAACTGTTATTTAAATGTGTCGTCAGGTTTCTTTAAATTTTTTTTTATAAATAATCTGTCGTGTGCAAATAAGCATACTATGCTACATTTTATGTTTTGCGATAAGTCATTTAATGTACTAAATAAACTGGAAGCTCGAATGTTAGACTGGTATTTTTACATAAAGCTGATATAATGCAACCAGATTATTGTCTAGAATGGGAACTTGTGCGAACCAAAATCTTTTCTTGATGATAATTTTGGTTGAACAGAATTTTTGTCTGTCCATGATAATTTTAAAAGAGAGGTTAAAACTGATTTTTGAGCAGCAAATCATGTAAGGAGACGATTAAAGATTTCAATATGAAATGGTGCTGAAACTAAAGTTCAGTAAAGTTGTCCTTAATATTTTTTCCTGATAAAGGCACCATAGATTTTAACGTATGCTGGCATCGGTCTCAAAATTTAAAAAAAAACATTAGCTTTCAAATGGTTTTGTCTCGTTCGTACCGGATGTAGGTTGTTCTACGTAATTCATATAATACGTTTTACATGTTTGCATATTTACCAGTGTAAATTGCATACAATGTGCACACACTTTTTACTGAATTGTATACAGTGGTTTTATTTTAAACATTTAATAGCATTTTATAAAATCAAATTGACATTATATGTTTATTCAATTTGGATTTCGAAAGCATATTGCAAATAATTTTGAAACTGTTACATAGCCATTATTTTTCAGTTTCTACCACATGGCATTACTCTGCTTTAAAGGAACTGGACCATATTCTTAGATATAATATAAATTAGTATGATCCATAAAGTCTGTTGGTTGCATCGACTTGCTCCATTTGTCCCTGAAACAACATTTACAAGATTATAAATGTAACGCAGTATAACCAGGAACACTTTCAATTTGTTTACTAGTTGCAGTGACTCGTAAGAAATATTTACTATGTCACAAATTTGTAAAACTCCTTTTGTCGTGATTATTTTCTAATGATCTGGACTAGATTTAAACAAAATTAAACATGAAACTTTGTGTACACAAGTTACTTAGATGTCATCAAACGTACAACATTCACATAAAACATAAGTTAACAGGCATACTTGCTGCATATAATATACGTAGATATTATGACCAAAATTATACTGATCACTCTATGGGAGGAGTAACCTCCAGTGTGACTGAGGAATAGAAATATGGTCACATGTCTTCTTCCGACCGGCAGTATGACCCTTGCAAAAGTGGGGCGTCCGTTTGGCTGTGCGGGATGTACAAATTTACAGCCACGTCTGGTCAGAATGGGGACGTTTAATCCGAAGCCTCGTGTTAAGAGAGTGCAAACAACTCTTTGGGGTTTCGGTTGCCTGTTGCAAGGCAAAATGTCTGTCCCTATCAGATATACGATCATTTTCCAGTGGCAGTCTAAATTTCCCGATTTTCGGCCTCTATAACAATCAATCAATTAATCTAGGAGTGAACAATGTTCATGTATTCCATGTTTATACAATAATCGCATGCGACTGATAATAGTGCGCTAGACACGTATTTCTTGCAATAACTTCTATTAGGTACACCCAAGACTGAACGTGTTAGAAGCCACATTAAAAACAAACGCTTAGCAAAATGTTTAGATAGACGTAGTTCACCACCAGGTTCGTGTTGCTCAGTTTTCAGTTTTATATGTAGTGTTTTGTAGATTTGTTTGTCTTTTCGTGGTCTTTCGCTTTTTGTCATGGCGTTGTCATTTTCTCTTCGACTTATTGGATTTGAATGTACCCTTGCTATCTCCCGCCTTTTATTTATTTCATTTTACCTGTTATAAATGCAAGACAAACATAATTCTTCAACTAATACATTTCAGTATTACAACCTTAGTATGTATCTGCTGATTATTTCACTTACCTTGGAAAGGATCTGACAACTGGTTAATTGTCATAGTTAAAACATCAGCGGTTTTACCAAGAAACTTTAGATTGTCGTCAGTAAGCAGCACCGAAACATCGTCGCACGGCTTATGATAGCATGTTGTCATAACACCTCGGTAGATAACTGAAGTTCAAAATTTTAGCACTTTTTATTAACTCGCTCATCTCAAGAATATTTATTGCTTTTTATGTTAATATTCTATTCATGTAATTATATTAATTTTTGTGTAATGTCTGAGCGAAAAAATGTGTTCCTTATATCAATGCGTTTACTTTGTGATCGGCCTCACCTTTACATTTGAAAAATCCAGTAAGTTTGTTTAAGACATTTTCTAGTGCCTAAACGAATAGAAACTTTTTTTTGGAACGAAATCCCCGTATAATATGCATCTTAGATAAATGTTTAGTCCTTTTTTAATATAACTATCATTAAATATATTGTTAATTCAAATATTAAATACAAAAGATAGATCGCACTACCAAAAAAAAAAACACAAAAAAAACCCAAAAGAACCCGACAAAAATCAATAACAACTAAGAAATAACCAACCAAACGAATATAACTAATCAAAATATCCTGGAATAAAAAAAAATACAAAGATAAATAAAGAAAAACCAAACAACTCACAAGTGTCTGTCAGATATATTGCTGGTACTTCGTAATCCCAAAAACTCGCATGATCACTGTTCATAAAATATCGATAATTCAACTGCTGTTTCTCTGGTAATTTGCTGTATTCCTCAAACGGTAGAGGGAAGGACTCCAGTTCAAAATGTTCTCTGTTTGCCTCTTTCCATTTTGCTTTAAACATGTTTGCAAGTACCAAATCTGAAGTTGGATTTCTATATACCATAGCTAAGAAGTCTCCTTTGTAATTGTCTTTTGATACACTTGAAAATGTTTCTGGAAACTAAATGATATACTTCAGAGTTAAAAATGTTGATGGAAAAACGAAAACTAGTTGTATTTACATGCCCCATAAACCAAAAGAAATACAAAAAAATGAAATATAAAAATCAGACTATATTTTAGACGCTTCCTCTTGACAGTTACTAGATGATCTTCAACTAAAGAACTCGACACATCTTACAGCAAAGCCAAGACAGTTCCTGGTATAAATGTATTGAAATAAAATACAAGATTCTAAACCATTTACAAGCAAATGCAAAACATATAACGAACCAAATATAGAAATCAAATAAGATTTGTGTCATAATATTTTTCAAAGATAACTGTGCTTCACATTCACAAAATACACAAATTATAACCATAATTTAATCTGAGCAACTAGATATGTTTCAAATTTAACTAAGGCTTTCTAAAAAACTTACTAAACGTTTCATATTTGGTAGAATGGTCTGCGACTTGATGGAAGCATTATAAGCCATTACCGAGTCCAAAATAAAAACACCATGCGATTCCAGTGATTCAGCTGCTTGGCCATAGTTCTTAAATAACCAAGGTTGTAGCCATGAAGCCAGTAATAATTCACTGCCTTTGCATTCTTAAAGAAAATTCAAGTTTGATATTTTGAAGGCTTTAAAGATTGTGAATTACATTTATATAAAAATGAGTAGATACACCATAAAGAGAACAAATTCTTAAGAAATGAAAAAAATGGAAGCACATTAAGTTCATAGATGAAATATCTATCATAAGGGGTTTACAAGTACGATAAAAAAAAAATATATCAAAGATACAAGGCTTGGTATTTTGTACTACAAACAGGCATTTCATTTACATAGAACTCATCTGTGGCGCTCTAATCAAATCAGTTGGGAAACCTAATTAAATTACAAAGTTGACAGAGCAAAGAAACATAAAAACATCGACGAAATGATATTCCCTATTTATTATGTTCTTTTTTTATCTTCACTTTCAATTTCATTCTCGTAAATAGTAAAATATAAGATATGTGGTTGGCGAACAGCGCTTTTGTGCTTTATTTTTTTGAATCAGGAGAACACTGTTGGTGGTAGTCAAATCCAAGATTTACGATGGAATATTGCGTGACATTTTTTTTACATATATTAATATATGTTAGATCAGAGGAAACAAGAGTAAACTAATAGCATTAGTCATACTTTGTTCTTTCAGGTCAAAAGCAGCAAACATAATTGTATTTTTCCTTTTTGTCCCCTTTCCGTTCATTGCTGTTATTTGCCGGGCAACTTCCAACATAGCAACTACACCTGAGCCGTTGTCATCCACACCTATCGGTAAAAAGATATAAAGTTAGTGTCGTAATAGAAATCTTCATTGTTCGTTATTTCCTTAGTTGACCAAATTAAAATCAAACACTAGATCATTTTGTAGCGTTCTAGGTATTTTTTCATATTGTAGTACACGGAATAAGATATTTTTGTATCAATCTTCCGTTGGTTGATGAAGTCCAACTTTTGATTTTGTCAGTTTTTATGGATTTCCCCCTTTTTGAATTAACCTTGGAGTTCGGTTTTTCTTTATACTATTTTAGTGGTACCAACCTCCTTCAGCTATAACTTAGATTCATTTCACGCTGATAAACTTTTACAAAAGATATTAAGGTAAAAATGATGATTTATGACATACCTTTTGTGGTGTTAGCTGTATCATAATGAGCACCAATGGCTATCATCTTGTCATAAGCCGTACCAAAATGGCTACCTTTCAGCATACCAATAACCGTTGTAAAATTTGACTAAAATAATTTTTAACATTATATTGTTATGGTTGAAAATTTATAAGTTTATGCAACTACATAGTATAAGATACTTTGTCAACATATGTAAAGTAAATATCATTTTGTTGCCACACAATTGTAAGGATTCTACTGCCTTAGCATGGATTCGAAAGAAACGGTATGGGTGGATACGTAAAACATATAACAAAACTATAATGAAATATTCGCAAAACAATATATCAAATGGACAGCAGTTAAACATATCAAAGTTATCAGGCTTATAATTTGGTACGTTAATCGCGCGTTTGTCTACTTAGACCAATCAGTTGAAAGGCCGAATGATATACGAAGTTGAAGAGCAATAAACCTCAAGAAGGTCTTCAACGCTGACCCGCAGTGCTCACAAGTCACAACAACATTAAGACGCCCCTATCATCAACTGAAACAGCACGCTTTATAATTTAGCGATTGCCGATGTATTTGGTATGCAGAAACACACACAAGAAATACCAATAACTTGCGAAGTCTTAAAACAAACTACAAAATACCGATTGATATTAAGTCTTAGATACAGGACAAAACGACTTCCTTATTTGCCATACTACGTCACTTGTTTTCTGAATTCCTTTTATCGAATTCCCTTAGTTGATTAAGTATCGTCTGTTTATTTGTCAATGATTTCTATCTTACTTTTTCTTTCCTGTTTTTTTTGCTTTTCCATTTTTACTTTGTATTTTTTTTTTACATAAATGTATCGATCACAAAAAACAAACGAGTCAAAGAAATGGGAACGGTAATTTCACAGTTTTCAAGGTGAATACAAGGTTATTTGACGAAATGATTTGTGTTTCGCCAGAAAATGAAATGGTTACGTAAAATATACTTGGCCAAAACCCATCCTAATAATCAGAAGAATAGTTTATTTAGGTATTTTACTTTTAATATGAAAGGTTATTTAAGTAATTGATTAACTTATTCGTAATCTTAATGAAAAGGACAAAACTCAACTATGATTAAAAGTAGGTGAGCGCGTATACAATGTACCTTAACCAGACATGCAGCAAACAAATGACGCACATAACAAAAAGAAATATAGAGGACCACATCAGTCTACAATAGAAATATGCCTATACTATATGCCTAGCTCTAAATCGGCGCCAGCCTGTATAAAAGTTGTGACTAAATTTACGACAAATAACCAAAACAACCATTAACGCCCAATTTTCTAAATAACTAAAAACATTAAGATATTGCATACGACAATTACTGACGAGGATAATGAAAACTTCTTGTATTCGCTGTATTTGTAGTTGGTAATATATCCGTTTCAACAGAAAAGAACAATATTTGACTTTTCAAAACACCTCGTGACTGTTTTGAGGATATCAGTTTCAAAATAAGAATATTTACCAAAACCAGAAACAAGCTCTCAACCAAAAGGTAATCAGTTTTCCGGAACCCGATTGGCGATGCTAGGGTGTAAAATTACGATTTCTAACTGTTTAGCGACACAATACTAAATATTGATGCATTAAATTAAGATTAATTTCACACATAGCGAAAGTCCCTAAGAATCCCGACGACCGATGAGTGGAAGGTCGTTTATATTATATAGTTCATAAGCTAGGATAAACCTACCATATTTACCAGGATTTAAATTTTGTACGCCAGACACGCGTTTTATCTGCAAAAAACTCCTCAGTTACGTTCGAATCAAAAAATTTTAAAAGGCCGAATAAAGTACGAAAATGAAGTGCATTGAGGACCTGAAATTCCGAAAGGTTTTACCACATACAGCTAAAGTAATCTATTCCTGGGATAGAAACATGGCAGGATATAAAGGACCTTTCATTAGGGATGAAAATGTTTCTTCCACCTTATCAACTAACGTCTATTCCATATAGACATATAATGTCGCAGTACTCTTAGTTCAGAAATAACTAGATCTATCTTAAGTGTCCACAATATTTGCGCTTGCACTGGTTACAATCTAGATGCTGTATTAAAAATAAAGGCTAGCAACAACTAATATTAGAATTATTACATGAGTTTTTTACTACTTAAATATAATATTTAAACTATTCACGCACACCACTTAGTGGCGGATCCAGGGGGGAGGGGGGTGTTCCGGGGTTGCAACCCCCCTTTTTTGACGATTAATGCATTTGAATGGGGACATATAGTTGGAACCCCCCCCGGTTAGGACCCCCCTTTTAAAAATTGCTGGATCCGCCCCTGCCACTAACCTTTGTAGATACAGGAGATAAGCTAAATTCAAAGTATTCAGCAACCAATCCAAAGGACGAAAACTCTTTGTAAATATAATCTCTTGACGCCATTTTGTAATCGTTGTTTATAACATGATGACGTGTATCAGAGAAATAATTTTTGATTGAAGACTCGATATAGTCTAAATCTGCTGTTTCAACATATATCCCTGTAAATAAAAGAAAAATCATTATACCAAAGTTAAACGTAACGCTTGTGCTGCGTTCCAAGTCTATTTCTTAACTAAACTTCTTCAGGAACGTTCAGAGTGGTCGAAATATAAAAAAATACATGTGCTTTCGTTGGTTTTGTTTATGCTTTTATTCTCTCAAAGGATGCGGGATTATTGGTACACGTGTAGTTGCATGGTGTGGTCTGTCTTACTGTCAAATAATTTTGATAATTCCTGATATCCTCTTATACCTACATGACCTATATATAACATTTTACTAAAATTACCTAACACGTTCAAAAAGGAATAGTACAAACCATCTAACATTAACTTTATTTGAGAATATCACTACAAACCAGTAAAAGTCTGAAATGGCCTATATCTGTACTCGACTGTACTGATTTTTACTCGACCAGTCTGAATTGGTCTGAAATTTACTTGATAATACTCGACTGTAGTCTGAACCATACTTAACAGTCTGAACTTGTACTCGACCAGTACTTAACCATTTTATACGCGTCTGAACCATGCTCGACCTAGTCTGAACATTGCTCGACCTAGTCTGAACCATACTCGACCTAGTCTGAATCATGCTCGACCTAGTCTTAACCATACTCGACCAAGTCTTAACCAACCTAGACCTATTTTTTGTATCTATCTATTGTATTTCATCAATTTAGGAACTGTTTTTAACAACAGCTATTTCCCCTGGCTAGAAATTTGAACAAAAATTTGAAATTAAAAATGTACTCAATTTAGCATTGAAACCAAAATTTCACAATAAACATAATATAACTTCAACACCGTATTCATCAACACTTATATACATACATATATATCACTTTTAAAATAAAAAAAAACCAACTGGTCAAATAATCTCAAAACTGAATTGTGACTAATATTTTCAATGTTATTCAAAATTTTTTGAATGTTTCAGATATATTTTATGGTTACTGGACAATTTTCACCATTAACTTAAGCCTAGTATAGATTTATGGTGTCAGTTGAGTTTAGTTAATAATGCAGTGAACATTTTTTTTTTTAAATATATATAAAATAACATATAAAGCAACTTGATAAATTTAAAAAATGACACCTTTGTTTTGTTAAACCAAGAATTTAAAATAAAGATGATAATAGAACTTCCATAGTAATCCTGTGATAAACTTTTAAAAAAAGGAAATGTGTTCCAAAGTTACAGTAAAAATTTGTTTCAATTAAATTTAAATTATTTTTGTCAAAATTAAAGACATGGCATACAAGAAGCACTTTAATAAGGTTTAATTACCTCAGTACATGTATGTTTTACAGGTAGAAAGAAAGCCCTATTTTTCTTAAACTCGTGTATTACTTATCTAATGAATTCAAAAGGCCTTGTGATTTAAGTTTCACAGGATGTTGCAAGTTTGAATGAATGTTATTTAGAATTTAATACTCTCTGACCAGGTGTGAGTTTGCCCCAAGCAGGAGGTATTACTTTATACTTCACCACTAATCAGAAGAACAATTTTATTAATTTCTTTAATTTTTATCCCTTTTTGATATATATTGTATATAATATATCCCAAATTATAATAATAGATATATTTCTAAAATAAGGTAAAACAATTTCAGTGATTTTGTTGGCTGTTGTTACCTCATTAAAAAGATAATTATATAACTATTGTACATTTTTTGTATGTAACCATGAAACCTGTGTAGTTTTTATTTAGGAATTTAGGAAAATTAATTTAAAAAAAAAACACATGCCAAACAAGAAGCACCTTAATAAGGTTTAATTACCCTCAGTATAGGTGTGGTTTTTAGGTAAAAGAAAATCTGTTTTTAACAAAACTCTAAAACTTTAAAATTAATATAATTAAATTATTACATAAGATAATTTGATTTAACTATCTCTATTTGATAAATCTGAGAATCATGTAAGAATGTAAAAATTAGTTTTTATAATATATCTTTATTTCATTGTGGCTGTTGTCATGTCAGTTAAAAAGAAATTTGTTTTAACAGTTAAAATTTAGAAAAAGTAGAGGTTATTTGGTCAAGTATGGTTCAGACTGGTCGAGTATTGTTCAGACCTTTGGTCGAGTATGATTTAGACTGAAAAAAATAGGTCGAGTACAGGTCGAGAATGGGTTAAGACTGTCTCAGACTGGTCGAGTAATAGTTCAGACTATTTTCAGTGGCAAAGATAAGGGTCAAGTACAAATCAGTACAGTGGAGTATGGTTAAGACTGGGGTCGAGTAATGTCGAGTAAAATTCAGACCAATTCAGACTGGTCGAGTAAAAATCAGTACAGTCGAGTACAGATATAGGCCATTTCAGACTTTTACTGGTTTGTAGTGTATTGCAACAGTAGATTGATACATCGCGTAAAACATGCAAATACATTAACTCATCATGGATTACAATTTTGTACGCCAGACGCGCATATCATTACAAGAGACTTATCAGTGACGCTCGAATCAAAAACGTTAAAAAGGCCAAATAAAGTATGAAGTTGAAGAGCTCGTAGGACAAAAAATTCCGAAAGGTTTTGCCAAATACAGCTAAGGAAATCTATTTCTAGGGTAGAAAATTGGTATTTCGAAAAATTAAAAGTTTTGTTAACAGTTAATTTATAATTATGACCATATCAATGGTTACTACGCACAGTACAATCAGCAGTGGTGTTCACTCTAAGTACAATCAGAAGTGGTTTCTACCCACAGTATAGCCGTGGTGTCTACCAACAATACAATTATCAGTGGTTTCTACATACAGGATAGTTACCAGTGGTTTCTCTACCATCAGCTTAACAGCTACTCACAATATAATTAACAGTGGTATTTACCACTCAACAATCAACAGTGGTTTCAACCTACAGTACATATTTAATAATTACCCATTGTACAGTCTGCAGTGGTATCCACCCACAGTACAGCCGTGGTGTCTACCAACATTTTGGGGCTGGCCGAGTGGTCTAAGTAGTTACTACTTTAATCACTTGCCAGTCAACACTGAGGTTGTGAGTTCGAACCCCGCTCGTGCGGGTGCACTCGACTCCAATCTTAATTGACTAAGATTGTCAGTTTTCCTATCGAAGGTCGGTGGTTTTCTCCGGGCACTCCGGCTTCCTCCACCAATAAAAACTGGCCGCCACGAAATAGCCCAAAAGCGGTGCTAAAAGTGGCGTTAAAACACAAAAAAAAATCAAAAAATCTTCCAACATTAAGATTAGCAATGGTTTCCACATACAGAACAATAAGCAGATGTTTCTCTTCACACAAAACATCGGTGTCCCAACAGTATCGCAGTGGTGTCTATCAATACTGTAATTAGCAGTGGTTTATACCAACATTACAGTTAGCAGTGGTTTATACCAATAGTATAGTTAGCAGTGGTTTATACCAACAGTACATTTAGCAGTGGTATCTACCGGAAGTACAGCAGTGCTGTTTGCTCAAAGTACAATTAACAGTAGTTTCTACCAACAGTAATATCAGTAGTGGTGTCTACCCACAGTTGAGCAGTTGTGTTTCTCCACAATACAGCAATGGTGTCTACTCACATTAGACCAGTGTGTCTACCCATAGTACAGCATTGCTATCTACCCACATTAGGTAAGTGAAGAACATGCTGTTGTTGCTTCCTTCAATACGTATGTAGACTTATAGATAAAATATGCTAAAAGTCAAATTTAGGGAATAATGAAAAATCATAAAATAACTTTGGAGCTTAATATCAATATTAGGGCCTAGAAGTAATAGCAAACAAATTGAATAAGCCATGCCCGAGGTTAAAAAATCAGTTGAGAATTTATTTCAAAAAAATGGATAAATTTATTTGTGAAGGCATTTGGTTGAAGAGGTTTGTCAATGCATATTTATTTTCTAAGCGATGATAAGGTTTTGTTATAATTTAAGTTTTTAATACTTTTTAACATTCACATTCAAACAATTTAGTATACTTACATGAACATAGACAGTATATGAAGACATGTCTCCCTTTAAAAGAAACCATTTTAAAACATTGAAGGCTGTACAATTGATGCAATATAATACATGAAATCATTATCAAAGGACATGTTACAAATCCACTTGTGAACACTCGAGAGTTAAAGAATATAATTAGTGTAACGGAAAAATATGGTACTTTATTTACTAAAGTATTAGTTTCCTCTTTTATTTCAAAAAACAGAATAGTACTAAATAGGAATGAAAATAAAAATCAAAGTTTAAGTTATATAAAATTCAGTCAGAAATAAAACAATCTAAAACCAAACAACAACAAAAAAATAAATAATAATAATGTTGATACATATAACTAGATCCTAATTACTTGAAAATGAAATGATGTTGATACATAAAACTAAATTCTAAATACTTGCAAATGTTGTAAGATTTTTTTATTACATGTATCTTATTGACCTTTTCAATTTTTGTAGGATTCTTAAGGTCTGCAAGAATAAAGGGTGCTTTCTTGTTAAGGTACTAAAACTGAGACAGCATATTCAACAAATTGTCCAGAAATAAAAAATCTAGAGTCATCAGGGATAATCATGTGGTTTTTGGACAGTGTTGTTCCTATGACCGCTTCGTACGGTGTTTTCCAACTAGTTCGCTGTATGACTGGTAAATTGTTAAGCCAGGGATTTCATTACCACAAATTATTTAAAACCTTTATATAATTCCTTCATAGATACAATCAAATGGTTTTAGAAATTTGTTTGTACCTGTAAAAACCTTATTACAAAACTGTTACAAAATATTCTAATTTTTACGGTGATGATATGATCCTTTGAAAAAACTTATTCTTAAAAAAGGTTATTAATTTTACACTATGGAAAAATCTTTAGTGTTGTCTTTATCGTAACATTGATTGTGTTTTTAATCATTTATTACACAACTTAATACATTCATGAAACTGATGGTTCTACATTCTGTCGATACTTATATAATTACATCCCCGCAGGGTATTCTGTTTAACCTCTGTCTGTCCCATGAAACAGTGATGATCCAATCCTACCCATTTGATTTCTATAGAAGAGGGACGAAAGATACCAGAGGGACAGTCAAACTCATAGATCGAAAACAAACTGACAACGCCATGGCCAAAAATAAAAAGACAAACAGACAAATAATAGTACAGATGACACAACATAGAAAACTAAAGACTAAGCAACACTAAACCCACCAAAAACTGGGGGTGATCTCAGGTGCTCCGGAAGGGTAAGCAGATCCTGCTCCACATGTGGCACCCGTCGTGTTGCTTATGTTATTACAAATCCGGTAAATAGTCTAATTCGGTAAGTCACATTCGTGAAAAGGAAAGGGTATTGTAGTTACGACATAAGGAACATATCCGATATCATCTGTGAAACGGTTATTCCATAACGGTCAACCAACTCGTGATGGCGTCCGTAAAATTTACGAAGGGATGATTTCAACCTCACCATTTGGAACTTTTGGTTTAATAGCTTCCTTGTGAGCAGCAATCCTCTATCAAGGAAATCATGATAGGAAACACAAGCACGGGAATATCGTATCAATTGGGAGATATATATACTCCGTATGCAGGCGCTGCTGGAATGTTGCTACATAGAAATGGAAAGTTCACAATTGATAGATTTTTCTTATTTTGTGCTGTTACAACACTATCACGGTTTAAGGGAGCAATTGAGTGCCCATAGATATGTTTAACCTCTCTACATTCTTTAATTGCCTGTCCCATGCCAGGATCCTGTAATTCAGTGCCTGTCCCATGCCAGGATCCTGTAATTTAATGGTTGTCATTGGTTACTGTCGGTCATATTCGTTTTTGTTTGATATAGAATTAATCAGGCTTTTGATTTATCACTATTGAATTGTTCTACATTATGTCATGTTGTGTGTGGCCTTTTATAGCTTACTATACAGACTATAATGTTCTCATTGTTGAAGGTCGTAAATGGTGAAGTAAGCTACTGACTTCAACGTTCTTTGCTTTCGGAGGAGGGAGGTGGTTGTTTCATCGGCAATTATACCTCTTTTCATATTGAAGGTATCAGTTAAAGGATAACCATGGTAGAGAGCTTATTAAGAATTTACAGGGTTTGAGCACCTGAGATCACCCCCATTTTTTGGTGGGGTTCGTGTTGCTTAGTCTTTAGTTTTCTATGTTGTGTCATCTGTACTATTATTTGTCTGTATGTCTTTTTATTTTTGGCCATGGCGTTGTCAGTTTGTATTCGATCTATGAGTTTGACTGTCCCTCTGGTATCTTTCGTCCCTCTTTTAATGAGTTCTTAACTCAAAAAAAATTGTTTAACTCCAGACATAGATAGCCTTCGCTTGATTTCAATGCTCTTCAGCTTTGTTATTGATTTATCATTCCAACTGTTTGGGTTCGGGTTTCACTGATGAGTTTTATGACGATGAAATACGCATCTGGTGTACTTAATCATAAGTCTCTTATAAGTATTTTAGAATTAAATGTCCTTACTTGGTGTGCCAAATCAGCGAAACCTCGATCTGTTATAACACACGTAATCAAATTTTCCTTATACAATAAATAATCCTTGAGATGGTAGTAACCTTCAAAGAGACAGGTTGTGTTCGACAGTTATCTGGTAACAATTTCGCCATCCATATTCGAAACAGAATTTCATTTGAGCTTGCATCCAATTAAAATGTATTATTTAAAAAAAAAGACATTTCAAAACAATTCCAGCTGCCAATTCGATAAATTTTAATGATTAAATTATGGTTGTCGTTGACAAAGTAAAAAGACATAAAAAAAATATATAGTTTTATTCAAATGACACTCTACTAATAATCTTTCTTTTAAATGAGATAATGTAGTATTTATCAGATATATTGTGATCCCGAGGAGTACTTCAAAAAGCAGATATTTTTATGGAAATGACCTTTGGAACTTCTAGTGTTCGAAGATATAACAACACATGTTCACAATGTTCAATGTCAACTTAAAGAAATGAAACTTGGGAAGCAAGTAGCAGAAAGACTGATTTCGTTGACAGTTTCGGCCGGCAAAAAAATTCTTATACATTTTATAATTTATTGAGGGTTTATATTAAAACAAATTTCAGCATTATACTGATACACGTGCTTACGTGTCCATATATGTTATTCGTAGTCTAGAATTGAGTCAACATTAGTTTACTGACGTGCAAATAAAATAAATCCATTAAGAAGATACAAATTAAGTTTAAAAAAGTTAAAGGAATTGCATGAATTGCAAAAGAAGCGAAACTGGACGCGTCGAATAGGAAAAAGTCTCCTGCTATGAATGCATACATTCACCGTGCAATAATACTTAGTCACAATGGAGAATAGGACACGTAAGATGACCATTTTTGTATCTACAGATCTAAGACTGAGAAAACATGTCGCTATTGAGTCTGACCAGTTGTGAATTAACTCAACAGAGATTACAAATATTTGATACTGAAAGCCTGTAATATTAAGTCATTTTTTAAATACACCAATAAGTACATTTATCTCAATAATACAAGTAAAGGTACTCAACTTTTTAAAGTTAAGATGTTTCAAAGAGAAAATGGAATCAAACAACATCTTTTGTGACATGAATGTTCTTAAACTATCTATTAACTTCGCAACATATTTCAAAACAAAGTTTATATAACCCTTTGTTTTGCTGCTTGTATAGAAGATTTCCATAAAGAACCAAAAAATGGACAGAAAGAAATCATCAAAGTCCCTAGGCTTCTCTTTTGTGACACGCAATAACAAATGTATTTTTCAGACGAGTTAAAGCTTAAGGATTGTATTTGAAAATATTTTTCGAAACATTAAAAGATTTGAAAGGTCTTTGCTATTTAAGAATATTTTGTTTTAAATAACAAAGATGATAAAATGATAAAAGGGGCCTCGGTGGCTAACTGCTGTTTCACTAGCCTGTCAATACTGAGGTTGTGAGTTCGACTACAATCTTAATTGACTATAGAGGATTGTCAGTTTTCCTACCGAAGGTCGGTGATTATCTTCGGGCACTCCGGTTTCCTCCACCAATAAAAACTGACCGTCACGAAATAGCACAATAGTGCTGAAAGTAGTTTTGAGCACCAATTAATCAGTTCGAGTTGTGGAGCTGAATGCACAACTAACAATGTTCTCTACCAAATTCGTTTATAGAAAAAAGATGTAATACAGTTTCCAATGAAACAGCTGTCCACAAGAGACCAAAAGGCGAGGAATTAAAAAAAAAACCTTGGGCACTGTGTGTAAAGCTACAAAGGCCCATGCATGACAACACATGAAAAACAAATAAGGCAGACAACAACCAACGACAACAATCTTTTAACTAAGGACGGGTGCATAAAGCATGTGGCGGAGTTGAACATGTTTGTTTTGGCGTAACCCTTCCCGTACCTGGGATAATGGTGTAACAATACAACATGGAAAAAAGCTATTAAATCCGTTGGGAAAGACATGACTCATAATATCGTTACTAAGCACACATAAAACCATAAAATAAATACCAAAATCACAAGGTACCGTTCTAAGAGTACTCGCAGTTACTGAAAGCTAGGTCAAAAAGAAAATTCCTACTAATAAATGGAATGATTACATTCAGAATAAGTGACTTCAAAGCGGTAAATTTAGGAAAATTGCTTATTTTGTCTGGTCCAAGTTGTTGATATCCCCAAAACGTCTAGTGGTCTATGTTTATTGCACAATTAATGGTATCTGCGGTTGTACCTTATAGTAACAAAAAGATGTCTTAATGAAGAATTACTGCACCTGATAAAGTATGGATTCGGATACTATAATATGAGTAATTCTAACAAACTCTAGTTGTGATGGAATATATAGTTGCATTTGCAATTCTGTTGGATTAATATCCTTTCTGGGCCATTCTGAAATGTTTATATTATATACATTGAGATACACAGGATTTGTATTTTCCATAGTTAGATATAAAAAGTCATAGAATTTGTATATTTGTAGCGTGTATACACAATTGTACAACATTCATGACGTGATTTTCTAATGATAGTAATACACGATCAACTGATAAAATAAAAGTTTTGAAACAGTCTGAACGTTGAAATGAAAAATCAAGTTGAAAAAAATTACAATCCCAGTGTTGGATAAATCAAGGGCTTCAACACATATATGTTTTAGATATTCCATAATTTTTGTCCTAATAATAATGGAGTACAGACATTCCTTGGTATCTAAGGTACT